CAATATAAAAGTAAATCAGCTATCAGGTGCCACTAACATGTCATTGGCATTATGATTGTAAAAATCAGGAAAAAAGAAGAACATTTGAGAGCAATTAAACATGCCAAACTCATTTTGATGGCGTCTGTTCATGAGAGACCATATCTCACGTCTCTTAGTACCGACTAAGTAGTATCCAATCCTCAACTATAAAATGTTTGCAATCAATGATCCCGAAGGACCAAGTCTCCCGGTTAGCTCAATAGGTAGAGCGTAGGACTGTGAATCGGGCAACCCGTGTTTAATTCCCGGACGGGGCAGGTCACTTTCGTTGTGATTGATCATGAAATAGTTTCTACGGTTATTCGCACTGTACCTCTGCTCTGCTCTGCTATGTACAGAAGTTCAGTTCCTTGCGAAAGTGAGGGCAACTAGTACTGGTAAACTGCTTGACAGCCTGTCCAGGAACGATTCGGTGGCTGAACTGTGCTCTGGTTAATTCAATATGGTTACTGCCGTGATCCGGATTGAAAACTACCTACACAAACACCACCATCCCGAAGGACCTATAAATATAACACTGTTAACCTAAAGTTGCAGACTTGGTTTGATTGAGCCTGTTCATGGACGGTACTGCAAAGTGCATGTTACTCTACGCCGCCCCCACCCCCCTTAGCACATAGTATTACTATCAAGTACCCACCAGGGGAAAGATTGGCTATTTTCGCCCAAGTGAAAGCTCCATGAAGTTAACAATAAACTTGAAACAAAGCTCAAAATCATACACGGGCGCTGTCAGTAGGACGGCGTGCTCGACTTTTCACAGTGCTTGATAGTAAAGAAATGGGACATAATATTGTAAAAAAGCTTGATAAAGTGACCCCTCTGTACACAGTTTTGAGATTATGATGGTGAATAAGTGTGCAAGGTCTCAAAGCTTTATGTCGATGGAATTTTGAAATTATCTGAGGTGGTAATGTAAATTCAAAGTTGAGAAAAGGGGCATAATTCTGTCAAAATGCTTGATAGACCTCCTGCAGTGTTCAAGTGGAGGGAATGATGGTATACAAGTGTGCAAGTTTCAAAGCCATATGTCAATGGACTTTGAGATGGTACGCAAACTTTAACGCCGACGCGACGCTCGGGCGACTAGGATAGTTGTCTTTAATCGTCGAATAGTTGAGCTAAAAAGAAACTGCCATCATAATATATATTTTTAATTCGCTCAATATATATATATTTATATTTATATAATATTTTATTCATAATTCAGATCCACTTTAGCAGAAAAGTCTTTTACTGTAAACTGAATAACTTACCCATTTTAAATGTTCTAGCAAATTAGTTCCTTATTGCGTGCATAAAACAAATAAAAGAGATATTGCAACATTTAGACATATATGCAGGGCATTTTCTATGAAAGGTAAGATGTCTCATCACTAAACAATTAAATAAAATTGTTAATCTTTTTAATATCACTATTATAATATAAAACAAAAAATTATTTAAGTTACTGTTGACCCTCCTTCGTAATACCCCACCCACTTTGTATATGAATTTAGATCAATAAAATACATTTATGGCATAGTTCGCTTATTCTAAATATGTGTAGATATAGTTTTAAAGCTGTATTAAACGAAATCATGAATGTTATTCAGTTTAAACAAGAATAAAACTAATAAGTTACACATATTAAGAAAAGGACACCCAGTTTGCAACATATTTTTTATTCTTTCATTAAAATTAGGCGATGGAAACTAGAAAAAAAAATCAATAAAGTCGAAATTTATAGCATGAGTAAGTTAAAAAATAAGAAATTTTATGCAAAATTTCAATTGATTTACAAAACCGAAAAAGTTTCATACGGTTGCTCATCAAACCTATTTTCATGAATTTTTTTTTTTCAAGATTGTTATTGAAAATGACGACCTGACTAGCGTTGCCGAGTGTTTTGATGTTCTTTCTCTCTTGTATCATAGTCAAAAATAAAAACACGTTCCCTGTTGTCACAATATGAAACCCCAGAAAAAAGTAACCAATGAACGAGCATCTAAATATGATATTTCTGTCGCTATCCATTTCTCTGTCTTTCTCTGTTGAAATCCTACAAACTTTAGGTTAATCTGCAGAAACCAGTTGTCCACGGACAACGTTATACAATAATACGTCCCGACATATTAGTTTAGTGTATTCTAACATTTTTGAACATTTTAGGTGAACAACGATAACTAAGAAATTGTAAATTCTGTGATTTAGTGTCAGAATTATTTCTCCAACTAGTACCGACTCCACCTACCCATGCCTCGGGTGGGAAGCAACATATAAAGTGCTGTGATTTTTTTCGTAGGTTCTTATCGAAATGTAATAAGAATCAAACAAAGGTTGTTGTCACAGAAGGGAATATCTAGTAAACAGTTACCCTCAAGCTAGATTTTCCTTTCTGTACCAGCAGGTGGTGTAAGATTATTATATGTACATGTATGTAGGAAAACCTTTCTGGAACCACATACATTAGTGTTGTGTCTAATGTGGCAATGTAACAGTATTTTTTCATAGCAATCATTGTCTTTCTATAGCAATTAGTGACGTCAAAAGCAACCATCGACGTCTACTGGCAACTTATTATTTCAATACTCGGCGCTATGGAAGTCAAAAGTTGCCAGTAGAAGTCGATGGTTGTTTTTTACGTCACTAATTGCTATAGAAAGTATGGAATGCCGGTAGGGACATGCCAATTTGCTTATTTGCTCCAATTGCTGAATTGCTTATTTGCTGATTGATTTACACTGATGCTCCATACAGAACCATTAACATCTTCTACAAAGTGCTTGATCAAGGAAGACCAGAGAATAAGTAAATACAACAACACCCAGATAAAGAACAGAACAACATTATACAGCATGAAACCGTTCATAGAATAACGTGAGAAATTCAAATTTTATTATATCGTAAAATATTATGTACAATTAACAGTATGTTGGAAATTAGAAGAAAAAAAAACATATCAAATAAAAATATATAAACGTATGCAGACTTTCTTCTTGTTACTTTTTACAGGTATTTTTATAATTACTAACAAAGAATACAAATAAAATAGCTTGAAAGTTGAGTCGTCCAAACTTTAAATTATCTTACTAATTCTAAAACATTTGAAAAAAGAAACAACTATAAATTACTGCATTCTCCCTATGTGCAAAATTATAAAATTAAAAGAACGTTTTTCTGACAAGCGCGTGTCGGGGGATATTCGGCACTTAAGACAAGTTCTAGTTTCTAATCAATGAATCAGTTTAATGAGATCTCATTCGAGTTAACGACTACTAGGTACTTTAGCCGGTTGGACTTTGTTTCCCCCCCCAACATATTTAGATGTTTCTATTGGGATTAAACAAAACGAGAGAAAATTAACTAAACAATTGAGTCTGCCTGTTCTATAGTAAATCTATTTTTGTGCGTGGACTAGGGCTTGTGTCGAAGGGATCTTACAGGTTTTCATAGATAAAACTTAAATAGTGATTTTTTCTGCGAGCAAGTTCGAGAATATAATGCTGAATTATATATTCATCACCACCAGTTAATTTTTATGAAATGTATGCAAAATATTTACTAACAATAATAGGGGCGGATACAGAACATGGTTCCCTGGGGGGGGGGGGGGGGGGGCTGATATATGGGTGGAAGATTTTGACAAAAATACTAGTAATGCAATAGGCGAAAAAGTGTGCATGTTTGAATATAGGGCCAATATCTTGTTCATGTGACAAAAAATTGTAATTGATGTGTTTTATAGCTCATCTTATGAGTGTCAATGTAAATTTTTTGCTTATATATGTGTATACTAATATTTTTGTAAATATTTAGATTATAATTTTATGGAATTAAGAAAAAAAATATGCCATTGGGATGGGCTTGGGGGACACCCCTCCCATAGACTGAGAAAATTTTGAAATATGAGGTTGAAAATGGTGTTATTTCCTTGAGTTTTAAGTGCTGTTTATGGTACCTTTTGGATGGTTTTACAGGTTAGTGTTTGCAGGGTATTTCAAATAGAATTCCCCTGGTGTTTAGTATTAAGCATTTACAAAATAACAGCACACTAACCAATGTATGCGCGACTGTTGATAAAAATAATTTCAAACACTTGATCAATGTACTCATCTGAATAATAGACAATTTTCCAAAGTAAAGTGATATTAAAATACTGCCTTTTAATTGTACAAACACTAGTATTCAATAAGAATTTTTTCCATCAATGAATCCATTTTAGATACTAAAGAGGTCAGTACAATTTAAATTTTATTTAAAAAAAAATATAACTGCTATAAAAAAGTTATTTAAAGCAAATGACCAATCAGTTCATCTGAATAAAAATCTTAGAAAAACCAGTTATTAAAACGCGAGTCATTTAATATTATCTTTATAAAACTCGCCATCTTTTTGATATACAAATAATAATTTTCAATTTCTTAATCAAAGAAAATTGAAAAACAAACATAGTAAAATATGGTGTAAAAATGTAACACATCTATTTGCCACTATCTTTGACTATTAATTCCAAAGTAATAAAACCAATCAATTATGCAGTTTAAACATTGAAGTCATTCAAGCATGTTGATAGATAAAGATCTCTTCCAAGCCCCCAGGCAGGAGATTAACAACTGGATGACAGCAATTAATGTTTTGATAAGGGAGTACACTACAGTCAATAAAGTTTGAAACTGACAAAAATATTTTGCAGCCCAGCTGGTAAACGTATCTTTAGGGGGCGAGCTGGGGGGCGGGGGCTGCAGCCCTGAAGCCCGGGGGCCTGGGATCCGCCCACTTGGAAAAACATGGCGCGCTTTTTGTAGGGGGGGGGGGGGGGGGGGGGGACACCCCCCCCCAACCTTTTTTGCCCAATTTTTACATTTTTTGTAAAGCGGGGGGGGGGAAAAAAAAAACCCAGGTTGGGGGCCCAAATTTTTTTAAGTTGTAACAGGTAATTTAAGTTAAAATTTGTCATTTTCTGTTTATTCTAAGGAAGGACCACATATGGTTTATAACAACAAATGATCATATCAGTGTGAAAATTTCCATGTTGCAGGGAAAAAAGAAAGAGATTTAAATCAGTTCGGTTTCCGATACAGGATGAGACGTAAATTTAGGTAAATGAGGTAATCAGTCTTATTTATAAATAGTTCAAATTACCCAGCCACTATTGTGCAATCTCAACATAAGATGTCAAGCATACAGACAGGAATAACTATATTTGTTTTATAAAAGGTAATTAGGGTTTTCGAGATATATTTTATAAAGAATTTATACGCAGGTATTCACAATTATAAAATTTAATAGACATGTTTCTACTATTCTTATTCGTTGATGAAATTGAATCTCAAAGAAATAACTTTATTTGTTTAAAGAAATTGAATTATATCATTAAAATAATTGAAAGATATTTTATGTGAGTATGCCATGTTTTGCAAATATTAGATATATTTTGAAAACGTTTACTGGAACTATATATAAGTATATATAGATCGTAAACAATTCAATAAACATGGACATACTTATCTCGCATTATTATTCTTTATGACAAAGATTTTTTACAAATAGAAAATGTCAATGTTCTTAAATACTATATCAGTTTAAACCTTTATACCATTGGTTTTAGGTTTTCATTGTCACTACTTGAGTAACTTTCTATAAAACCTAAGATTTTGCTTGTTTGCTTGAGAAGCAAGCCTTAAAATGGTTAAATGTAGCATTCCAAAGTACATAATTATAAACTTATTTTTATATTTTATAAAAAGATCTGAACAGCTCATATATGGACTAAAATTAGATATTAGTAAAATCGAAAGAATGTATCGCTTCACTTGAATTCATTTGAATGGAAGTCTGTCGTTATCAAACATGATGAGTAATAGTTTTAGTATAATGAAACGAGTCAGTTACCAGAACAGAACAGAACAGAACATACTCTTTATTCTCTCAGGTACATAAGTACAGAATGAGGAAAATAATAATAAAACACAGATTTAAGTTTTACAAAGGTGTATAAGTAATACATTGGGGGAGACCGTAATAAAGTTTGAAAGTAGAACATAATCCGTATAGGTAGATACTATACTGTATAAAAACAAACAAAATATGTGAAATGTAATGTAAGATTATGTCTATATTCTAATAATTACTTAAATTTGGCCATTATTGGTAAGAATTGACCGTTGATATATAAAGAAAGGGCAGCTTAATAAATAATGTTTTTCGGTGCCTAAATCATCTAGGTCACAAAGTGTGCACTTTCTGTCATTGAATACTGTTCCGTCCCACCTGCCGGTTTCAACAGGAAATTTTTGATTAGAAGACCGAAATTTAAACAAATTTAATGCGTCACTATGCGGCAATAAGTTAAAATATGATTCAAATTCTAATATGGATTTAAATGAATTATATATTTTGCCTTTATTAGAAGATTGCAAATTCCCGTACCATTGTTGCTTGTACTGATCTATTAACGTGAGTTTTACCAATGCACGTGTATTTAACGGTATATTTGTATAAAATTGATTTAACCAAGGTATGAACGGCCAGCTAAATCAAGTATTATATATTTGCTATATTAGAAAATCCTCATATTGTACAAATGTGCTTGAGTGAATAAAGATATCTGTCTGTCTGTCTGTCTGTCTGTCTGTCTTAACGTACGAGGTCCATTTAAAAGTTGCGGTTTGACTATTTACCATATATATGTTTAAAGTTTAAACGATAACTTGTTATGGTCACCATATAGTAAGCGTGTCCAAAATGGGGCGACATTGAGGGACATTTCTGCTGAAATATTGAGGCCGTCAGTGCTTTTCCCTCTCTTAATTGTGTCCTTTCCCTTTCGTTTAAAAAAACTACACTGATATATTATACAAGGTGCAAAAAAAAACCCCTCAACTGTTATATATTAGTTGAGTTTTTTCCTATATGAATCAATAAACAACTGTACTATTATAAATAAAAGCGATAGTAAGAATATAGAAAAATTCCTAACCATGCGATAACACAAACTGAATGGAATCCTCGAAGTTGTCTAAATTGAGCTTAACTGCTTGATCGATCGCATGGCTTTGAGCTTTTTCTTTGTTATTTCTAACCCATTACACTCGGTACACATTGATAACTGTATTGATATATAACAGTACAGTTTTTCACTTGATCACTGGACTTGAAATAGCATGTTTATGAAATTTTAAATAAATTTATTGTTATTTCTAAAAGATATTTACGGTGGCACAAAGGTGACAGGTGTGTGTTTTAATTTATCTCGTGGCCACGATATACTATGTCGTGGCCACGAGTTACTAAGTCGTGGCCACGAGATAGCTAAGTCGTGGCCACGAGATACTATCGCGATGCCACGAGTTACTAAGTCGTGACCTCGAGTTACTAAGTCGTGACCACGATTTACTAAGTCGCGGCCACGAGATAGCTAAGTCGTGGCCACGAAATACTATGTCGTGGCCACTAGTTACTAAGTCGTGGCCACGAGTTACTAAGTCGTGTCCACGAGATACTATATCTTGGCCACGAGTTACTAAGTCGTGGCCACGAGATAGCTAACTCGTGGCCACGAGTGATTTTTGGCAATTTTGAGATGTCCCCTCGTTGCCATGGTAGCAGGAAATTTAAGACTGAGCATGTCGTTACAAAGGCAATGGTCCAGTCAACATTTGTGCCAAGTTTGATTAGTATTGAATCATTTTTCATAATTTCATAGCAGTTTGAACTTGTAACAGGAGGCTTTTCAGTGAAAACGGCCATTTTTCACAATATGCTCATGGGGGAAAGGGTTAACTTAAACAAGAGCTGTCACAGGAGACAGCGAAGCTCGACTAATAAAATACTGGACGCAGTAAGGAGGACAAAATTATGAAAGAAAAATCAATTATGTATAATCATGTATTAAGTTATAGTAAAAAAATAACATTTGTTAACATAAATTCCAAGATCAAGGGGAATAATTCTAGAAATAGTCATGCTAGAGTTATGGACCTTGTCACACAACATTTGTGTAATGAAAAGAAATATATATTTGAAGTTTGAAGTAGATACCTTAAAAAGTAAAGAAGTTATTATATTTCTTAAAGAAAATCCTAAGTTCAAAGAGAGATAAATCTGTAAATATTGCTTCAAGAGTTATGCACATTGTCACATAAAATGTAATTGATGATAAGGAATAAGTATTTGAAGTTTGAGGTAGATACCTTTAAAAATAAAAAAGTTATAATAAAAAATAACATTTTTCTAGTAAAAAAATCTAAGTTTATGGGGAGATAATTCTTGCAATATTGGTGCTAGAGTTATGAACCTTTTCACATAAGATGTGGATGATGATAATGTAAAAATATTTGAAGTATGAAGTTGATCCCTTTAGAAATAAATATGTAACAGTAAAAAATAATATTTTTTATGGAAAATTCTAAGTTCAAAGGGAGATAAATCTGAAAATATTGGTGCTAGAGTTATGAACCTTGTAACATAAGATGGGGATGATGATAAGGTACAAATATTTGAAGTATGAGGTTGATCCCTTAAGAAATAAAGAAGTAACAGTAAAAAATAGTATTTTTTAAGGAAAATTTTTAGTTCAAGGGGAGATTTATCTGAAAATATTGGTGCTAGAGTTATGAACCTTGTCACATAAGATGTGGTTGATGATAAGGAACATATATTTGAAGTTTGAAGTTGATACCTTAAGAAATGACAAAGTTATAGTGAAAAATATTTTACTGCACCAAAACTTTAATCTAAAATCTGGACGCGGACGCGGACGCCGACGCCGGGGCGAGTAGGACAGCTCTCCATATACTTCGTATAGTCGAGCTAAAAATTATAAATGTTACAAAACAACAATTTTTCACCAAAATTAGGTGAAAGACCACATGTTTACATGGAAAAACTAGTTTTTAGGTGATTCCAAAGTTTTTCATCATTTTTTGTTAACCCTTTACCTCATATATACGCGAAACAACGCACTTTCGACCTCACCCCCCCTTTTTTTAGGCCTCAAATAGTGAAAAAATGCCCTTTTTTGGCCCAAAACACATATTTTCGTTTGAGAAATGTTGCTAAAAAAAAGTTGAGCACTTTTTCGGCGCCGCCCCCATCCAAAAGATACATCAGGGTGTTGCCAGAAGGGGGATGTGCCCCCTTCTGTTAGGGGGGTTTGAAGGGGGGGGGCGGATTCCCCCTCATCGCCAAGAAAAATTTGGACTTGTGAGAGGCTAAAATGACCCCAGGTCGATCCTAATGTAACGTGTAACCAAAGCTGAAAAGCCTTTGACTCTATCTCAATCCCTTGAGAAGTTGCAGCACTTTGAAATAAATTTTGATGGAAAAAATCGAGGCAAAATAGTGATTTTTTGGCAATTTTGAGATGTCCCCTCGTTGCCAGGGTAGTAGGAAATTTAAGACTGAGCATGTCGTTACAAAGGAAATGGTCCAGTCAACATTTGTGCCACGTTTGATTAGTATTGAATCATTTGTCATAGTTTCATAGCAGTTTGAACTTGTAACAGGAGGCTTTTCAGTGAAAACGGCCATTTTTCACAATATGCTCATGGGGGAAAGGGTTAATGATACTTTGTGTCGAGGTCAACCACGACGGGGTACAAATATATTTGTAAAGAACAATATAGTAAAAAACTTTCGCCTTTAAGCTGATATGATGACTTCCATAAGTCCATTTAGTCATATTGTCCAACTCCTTTCCTTACTTTAATGCATTTTTCTAGAGCCGCTTTCACCGTTAAAATATTTAACCAGTCACGTCCGTCTCTAAAATTCTCACTTTTCTTCTCTGCCATTATTCATAAATGATGTCAGTCTTATTAACGTATGTTTTATAAGCGTAACTCTACGTAAAAACTTGCGAAAAATTTATGTACGCATTTTTTTTAGTTAAACGCATTTACGTAAAAAATCGGACGTTTGTTAAAACTTACGCAAATCTCAAGCGTAAGTACGTTAGTAAAACTGGCCCCTGGGGTTTCGCTTGTGGATTTATTCTGTTTTGTCAGAAATTTTGCCCTTGACTTAGTATAAAATTGCAATTTTCAACTTGTGCGCACATAACTAAAGAAGTATTTGACCAAGTTATGAAATTAAACATGATGGTGATCAGCATGTGAAGTTGGGCACCTGGGGTTTCGCTTCTGGATTCATTTTGTTTTGTCAAACTTATTGCCCTTGACTTAGTGAAAATTTGCAATTTTTAATTTGCGTCATGTGTAGCTAAAAAGTATTTAACCTAGAGTCATGAAACTTAAAAGGAATGTCGGTCAGCATGTGTAGCTGTGCACCTGGGGATTCGCGTATGGATTTATTTAGCATTTCTAGAGTTATTGCGCTTGTCTTAGTAAAAAACGTTCCATTATGGTGTGTTAATTGTTCCCTGAGTGTTTGAGTTAGAATCAACAAACTTTACAGGAATAATGATCAACATCAATGTGAAGCTATGCACCTTGGATTTTGCATGTGATTTTTTTCAGTTTTGTTTGAATTATTGCCCTTAACTTAGTATAAATTTACAATTTTCAACTTGTTCATGCATAACTCAAAAAGTATTTGACCTGTAGGCCTATAAGTTTACAAGAATGTGCTTAGTAAAATATTTTTCGTTTTCAACATGTGGTACATGTAGCCCGAAAAATAGTCGACCTAGAGAAAACAGTGGAGTGTAGTGTTTCGCCAAGAAAATTTTGGACTTGTGAGAGGCTAAAAATGACCCCAGGTCGATCATAATGTAACGTGTAACCAACGCTGAAAAGCCTTTGGACATATTTCTAGTTTAAAATCTTTCTTTGCATGATAACAATTTCCATTAAACCATTTTAGACGTGTATAATTTTGTGTGCTTTCCATTGTGACGAGAATGTTTGCCAAACGTCAATAATGCATCTGTGTGTAATAATTCTGTTAAACTTGTCAATAGAAATATCACAATAATTCTCAAAAATTATTTTCAAATATCATTTGAAATAGATTAACGAAATAAATAAATTTTATTTTCATCCCGCACTATTTTTGTTTTATTATTAGACCTTGAACTGTTTCCTTCATTAGTGTTATGAAATGTATGTATTTTTCTTGGTGCCACTTAATTTATTTCCATATAATTGAAAACTTTCATTACCGTTTAATTCTAAATTAAACGAGCATTTTTCACTAATCCAAGTCTCACAAAATAACAGAATATCTTATCTGCTTATGTAGTCTAAAAATTCCTCATCATTTAATTTTCTTGAATATCCCTTTAAATTCCACACAAGAATTCGCAGTTCCTTTTGTTCTTCCTAACTTGTAACCTCGTGGAATGGTCCCTCGGCATGATCACTGACTAAAAGTTTTGCTCCAGCCCTTTTGATGAATCTGCCACATTTCTTTTACCGATCCATTGGGAATATAGTTCTTTACGTTTGGCCAGCACAGCTTTAGTTTGTAGAACGCCTACTGTTTTCTTTTTCATTTTTAATTCCCAGAATTGGTCACTTGCATTTTTGCGTACCAATTCTCCATCTTTCCATCAGATTTTTACAATAAAATTTGGATTTTGTATACCAGTACTCGCCTGTTCTTCGCAAGAATACGACTTGCACTTCCATTCTAGACCGCGCGCTTACATTCGGTCTTATCAAACATGTCTTATGACTAAGGGATGATGCTAATTAAGAATACACCGAAAGAAAATTCTTCCAAACATGAATGAAATTCTAAGAATATTTAAAATCAGCCATCATAAAAAACAAAAACAATTAAAAACCCAACTTACATGACGGTATATCTACATTTATTACTAATATTCACATTTATAGAACCCTTTCATTTACTTTCCTTTGAACAAATCGTATATTCTGATTATATTAGAAATAGCCTGGTTCTATTTACCATGAAATTTATTATATATAAAGATAAAGTGTTCCTTTATTATGATTAGAATTTTTTTTATCTTCCTCAATATTTTTATATATTACTAATATGTTATGTATTCTTACACACCTCCTCTATTGTTTGTGACAGGTCTATACTTTTCGAATAGACCTGTTTAAACAAAAGAAAGTCCGTTATGAGGTCTTTCTTTTGCACGTGCACAGGTCTGTCTGTTCCAGACAGACAGACCCGGTCATGAAATACACGTGAAGAAATAGACCTGCCAGTGCGCAGACAAAGAAAACATGAAATGCCATCAACAATTAAAAATTGAAATAAAATATAAATGATTGTCATAATGTTCCTGTCTTACAAAATCGGGATACATTTTAAACAAGAATGCACTAGGCAATTATTCCAGCATCCCTATATTAAATCTTTGAATAAAAATAACGGACATCATATCAAAGTTAGGACACAATTTAACATTTATTTAATCGCGTCATTTTTCAAAGTAATAGTAATCAAAGTGGTTCTTCTGTCATTAAGTTCACAATATAACAAAATGGACGCTTCAAGTTCATATTTATGAAACTATATAGCAGTAATCACAGCATACTCATTACGATTTTAAAATGTTAATAAAGTTATAAGTGATTAATACTGATTATGTATAAAAAATTATATGATGAACGATCATATTTTATTCTAGAACACTTTATAATCTGCTATATAAAATATAGTTTCAATTCATTTATCTCACACTTGCCAAAAATTTATATATATGTAAGTCTTTCGTGGTCTGCTTGGTATCCATACATTGCCCTTCGGACAGTTGCTCCTTCGGAAGTTTGCCACCTTTTTGCAGTGGCGGTCATTTGCCCCCTTATATCTTTAGAAGGGGCGGACACTTGCCCCCCTCCCTGTTTTAAAAATGTTTAAATATTTTATTGATGAATTGTTTGCTACCAAAATTCATCGCCTATGGTCGAAATTTCATTGTGCTGAAATACACAAAAACTCTCGCGCAAATTTGTGAAAGTCAAAATAGCAAACTAAAATGTTTCCATTGGCATACAAAATATCTATACACGAGATGACAAGCGATAAGTCACAACAGCAAAATAAAAGAGGGCAAATGTCTGGGGGGGACTGTCTGGGGGCAAATGCCCTAGAGTCTACATTGTCTGATACGAAATACTATCAACATAATTATTCATTCTTTAACATACCTTCTATTACAGACCTATTCACTTTGTTATTGACAAATTGCACGTTATGCTTTTTTGATTATTATTTTATAGGGAAAAGCAAAGTTAAATGCAAAATATATATTGTATTTAAGCAGAACGTTTATAAAAGCTTACCTGTATATGCGTTGTGTTAAAAATAATATCTGTGCATTACATCAAATGCTTCAAACGACAATATAGTTTTACGGTGTGTAAGTTGGAAATCGGCCTCGTACATCGATCTTTCTGTTTAGGAAAGACCTGGTCACGAATTTCATGAAACACCTCGAGTGCTACGCGCTCTCGGTGTCTTATGAAATTCGTGACCAGGTTTTTCCTAAACAGAAAGACCTCGTACTCGGTCGATATCCTATACATATATCATAATAGTGATCTTACCTTTGCCTACTCGACAAGTTCTGTCAACTTAACAAGTACATTACCTGACCTTATTACATAATGAAACCCCACGAAAAACACGAGAATATTCAAATAACACGAATGAATTACAAGTGCGTAGCGGTAGTATCTTTGCATGCTTTCTTAAACATGATAAAGTACATAAATAGTTTGTTTCTTGTGAGTTATATTAATAAATACTGAGCTAAAAACTGATGTATGGATAGAAAAACAAAAGAGCATGTAGGTAAGATAGTTACCACACTCGGAATAGGTCTGCATAGTATTTACAGACCCGGTGACCTTTTAAAAACATCGATCGCTACGCTCTCTCTGTCTTCAAATCGCCACCCGGGTCTGTAAATAATATGCAGACCTATTCTTCGTATGGTAGCTATGACTTGTGGATTTGCAAATCAACATTTGCAGCCACATTTTGTCCGGTATAATTTTCATTTTGCATTTTGTTGATATCAAATATGAAATGTTCAGGAGAAAAAGCATGCAAACGTTTGTTTTGAATACAAATGACTGTCCTACACAATACCCTGTTTGTCCACTTTGTGCGTGTTGATCAATACCCCGTGTACTGTTCGTGTCCGTTTCCATGAGATAGCCATTCGATTACAACGTTTATTTTTCTTTGTTGAGTCTTTTCGTGACAAATTATTCTTAGAAGACATGTATAAAAAGTATAAGTATCTTTGCACCAACATATTAATGAAAAAATTAATTCACTTTTTTGAGAAATTTTGCGAAATTTACAGTTTTTACTTCGAAATATGGAGAGTTCAAACTTCATGTCTTACCACTACATCACGTGACATAAATGAAATAAACAATGCTGTCAAATCATATTAGCTGTGAGCTTTTGTGCTGTGTGCTTGTCCGGCGTCTGTTGTGGCGCGCCGTGCATATATGCTATCAGAAGAATTACTGGTTTTGATGTTATCTTATCTAAGGAAAGGTTTGGCAATAATAAAAACCTCGCTTCCCAAGATATGGAGGCAGAGCAGCACTGTCTGACTTTAATAATTTAATAAGGAAATGTTTGCAAAGTTTTGACCTTTAATTCACATCTTTTTCAGGATTAAGTGGAATGGGAAATGACTTTAAACTTTAAGAACAAAAGGGACCAGAAATGGGTAATTCATGCTGCCATCTATCACGTAAAATATGCATTGATAAAGGTACCATAAAATTTCATTTTTTGTCACATATATTTTAATTATCGTTACGATACAAATATAATATCTGATACTACTAAAATGTACTATAATTGCTGTTATTGCATAAAACAAAGACTGGTCATCCTATGTTAATGTTTCACAAATCACAGACAAGTCTTATCAAGTCCATATAAAAACAAAAAATAAACCAAAAATTGGATTAAGCAATTTGAGTTATCTGTCTGTGGAATGCTTTCACTGCGACGTATGATATTAATTATCAAGTAATAATAATTGTTTAATAATTGCATAGGAAATCTACTTAGATTATAAGATATGGTAAACAAGATCAACAAGGAAAGGCGGCGTTCAATGAATTATTCACTTTTGTTTATATTTCCAGGAGAAGATGAGCAAAGGCAATTTGAATTGAGACATTCTAGTGAGGAACAGTGGGATGCAGTATCGTGCATACACTATACTAGTGACATGAATTACATCAATGAAGTGTTAGTTTGAAAATAGCCGGTAATATTGGCATTATTTCATCTATAAATTTGATTTGGATGTCCGCAGACTCTGCTCAATTTAGCTTGCCTTATGAGGAAAAGGGGCAAAACAAAAATATCTTACAGAGTATTACATTGTTATAATAGCATTCGTCCATTTACTCAATAAGAATGTTGTCTATCATTCTACGAACTGTCAATGACAGAATCACGTAGGTTTCTAACAGAAATTTCATTTAAAAGCATGTCTTGATTTCTATGATTTTCCTTTGCAAGACATTATGCGTGATGCGTGACGTCATGTTTCAAATCGGTTTTAAACCTGTATAAAAGCAAGATACATATATGATTTGTAATTTGTGTCACCATAATTATAGTAAACGTAAAGGAGTCACACACAAAAATTGATATTCTTGAATCATTTTTATGTATAATCCGATCCTTAGTTTCTATTGATGAACACGCATGTCTGGTCTGCAAATTGTGTTTGTGATGTTTATGTTGATTTTTTTTTCTAGCAGATCTGATTATCGGATCTGTATTCTATTGATATATAAAATAAAAGACAAAATTACTTCATTTTACATTACATCGAGATTATATAAAAAACGAAATTGATAATTTCCCTACTAGGTATTGTAACATAAAAGCAAAATGTGATGTTTATATTGATGATTTAAGTAACTAAGGTAATGTATGGTATAGTTTTGGCAAAGCTCGTCATACACCCATTCGAAAGCCATGTAAAAGATATAATATAATGCTCAAATTTGATATTCGAAAATATTGACAGCTTATACATAGTATATCTGTAAATATAGATAAAACATGTTTCACATGAACACTTAGTAAATATTTTCACACACTTTTCCAAATAACCAATAATACTTGAAATTTGACAACGCATTAAAATATTGAACTTATGGACACTTGAATTTATAAGATATATTCTGGAAAAATGTTTTATTCTTTAATTGTCATGGCAGTACATATAATCCCAATATGATACTTTGTATGAACTGAAACACTATTTAAATAAAATTTGCATACAAATATATTAAACCTGTAATAGTAAAAAAAAAAATACCCACACAAAAGAAATTGACCACAATCACCTCAAACTGTTGCATTTGCTTAGCGGTATATTTTTTATAAGGATTTATATTTATATTTTTATAAGTATTATGGCGATCTTCTATACCTTGTAACATACCCTAAAAAGTCATTTTTCTTTTTTATACTTAGATATTGATCTTTAAATTCAAAACAAGTTAATGCTTTTTAAAAATTATTTGTAAACAAGCCTACACGTGTTTCATTTGTAAGTACTAAACCATCTTCAAAGATTGGAGACAGAATTTCTGTATTTTCTAAAAATAACCACCTTTTTATATCACTATTTTTGAAGTAAACAGGGAAAGAGAAAACATACCGCCCTAAGTTCATTTTTACAGTTACTAGTTTGTGTTTCCTTTGTAACTTCGACCACATGATTTTAATAAATGATACTTATATTTTATGGCCCTTAATAACTCATTTTTGAATAACACCATTTTTTCACAAATCCTCCCAAAGGATCCTAAGTATTTTCTGTAATAAGTTTATTTTAAGATGATTCATAAAAAATTACACGAATACAAATATCAAAATATAATTTCACACTTTTCAATAACGGGACTACTGTTTAAAGATTATTCCCATGTTGTACCTGAATTTTATTTTTTGCGGGCAATTCTAACATTGTCATGGCTTTATAGAAAAGCAAAGCTGAAATTGATAAATAACTTAATTTCAAAAGTAATAAAAAGAAAAAACCTTACTCCCATTCATTCAAATTTCCAATCACCAAATATCGTCATTTTTGTTTCATTTTTACAGTTTGAAAAATACACTTCCTTCCACATTCAAAACTGCTCTTGATGACATTTTGGCATATTTAAGAATCCTAAGAGCAATAACTGCCTAATGCAATATGAAAACTTGAAAAGCAATGACAGCCATGAGCCCGAGGAATAAGCAAACAACCCAGCATTCGTAAGGCAACCTTTTTTCAATTTCCTAACCGTTTTTTTATGTTTACCCATCTGTCAACAATTATTTATTGTCTGTAATAATCCTTAAATCAGTTTTCTTTCTTATAAAAAGATGTATGACTAACAACTTACAAATCTAAATGATACCCCTCTGAATCAAACACAATTATTTCTCCCCGTTTTTAAAAATTGCGACCGCTTTTATTTTAATATAAATTCGCCGTAAGTAACGGAAATAGGTTGGATGGCGTGACTTTTTCTTCTACTAGAACTGTTTTTTTTTTATTATAAAACACTCGATCATTCATATTTTTGAGAAAAAATATCATCGCAATTTAACGTTGATTGTCGAACTTATTTTTCAACTCAAAACTTCTTGTATTTATGAGAAATTCGACAAGCCACATTGATTTATTAACAAATATCTATAGGGTGGCATGATTAGACGAAACCTTTATTAATTTTGACATCATTTAGTCAAAGATTTAGATCACTACGGCACTGCCACTGAAACATCACATATTATATATACAATCCAATAAGCAATCGTGTCTTACAAAGGTTTGACCTATATTATATAAGTGCATTCCACGTTGTCACATATGTAGTACTAAATTGGCTTTGCTTCCTGGCATATTAATTAATTTTAGTATTTTGTTTTGATTTTGTTAGCCTTTCAATTATTTGTTGGAATCTTCTATCTGCTTTGCTGTTTTCAAAGGAATCAAATTTTAAATTCATTTTCGATCGGAATGTCGTTTTCTTGTTAGTAAGCAAGCAAGCATTGAGACAATTCTTCCGTGTATATTTGTGTTGTGTTCCATGCTAATGCCATTAGACGCGGACATTAGACACTTTGATTTTTGAGTGTTAATATCTATGTTTCACTTATATTTTTGTACTTTTAGTGATTTGAATTCTCCTGTTGAGTATCAGACATCAGTTTTGGAATCACCTGAAGGTAAGGCAAACTATATTAATCCTCGTTATCTTTTTTTTGTATTCATTATGTTCTTAATATATCACAATTCAGTTTGCAAGATAGTAATATAATTATAGTTATATGGTATTTTCTAGGTATCTAAATTTCTGCTAGCATTCAATAAATAAAATCAACTGAACGCTTCATGTATAAATGTTGTGTGCTTATTTTTCTAACACTTTAACTTTAACAGCAAATGAATTATTATTCGCTTTAGTGTTAATTAGTCTGTAATTCGACAATTATACAACATATTAAAACTTCTTTTTTTTCAAATGAAAAATAAATGTCTGCCTATTGTAGGCAAGATTGATACTTAGATCTACTTTCTTTCTTACATAAAGGATTCAACGTTAAGTAAAAGATAACATGGTGTTTGTAGTATATAGAATTTCTAAAATGATTTTGTCTTGATGAATTCAAAATGAATAACACGAATATTAGATTGATTTTTGCACACACACTGAAAATCTTTTCTAACGCAATTTTTTTTTTAAATTCGTGTTTCATGAAAACCGTTCACGATATCTTACTTATATTTTACCAGAACCGGTCGGACTACTTTTGCGAATATTTTCAACGTAATCATTCATCCATAACGAGTTGATCAACTTTCTGCACGAGGAAATCGATTTTGGCGAAAATTGTCGATTTTATTTCAATTAATAAACTGAAATATTGAGTCAGCAACATTGAAAAATTATAGATATCCTTTAAAACGTAAAATGGTTCGCATGCAATAATAAGAGTGCGCACGCGCAATCGGTATGCTTCAGGCAGGTCATTCAGTCAGACAGGTAAGTTGGTGATATATTTTTAAAAACTAAAAATGCCAATTTAATACTGCTTTATTTATGATATATGTGATAAGATAAATAATGTGCTTAAAACGTAACTCTTACTTTCCTTATAATTAGAAAAAAAAACAAATATCAATCTTGTTTATATATTTTCAGGTGGCGCAAGATTTTGGCTGAAATGTGTCTGTCATATGCAGACTTCTGTTAAAGTACCAACGCACCGGCCGCAGAGCCTCTTTGAATGGTCACAACACCTTTACCAGCTATCCAGATTATTGCAAGTTTTCTTCAAGACCACCGAATCGGCTGCAGCTGCATCAGCAATAGTTGGTACACAGGACAGACGCATTAGAAGCAAGATCGTTATCGGGCGTCTCCGCGGCCAGGACATTCGAGCAAGTCGACCTATCGTGACCTAATCCTGCCTGCAAGTCATCGTCAACAGAGGGAACAGAAGGTTCGCCGGCATCATCGTATGACACATGTAGAGTGGACAAATGTCCTCTTTACGGATGAAAGTCGCTTTAACTTGTTCCAGTGACGTCGGATTTGAGATAACCGACGGCGAGGGGAACGGTTGAACGACGCTTGCGTCATTCAACGTGACCATTATGGCGGCGGTTCTGTAATGGTTTGGGCTGGTGTGTCTCTACATACCAAGACCGACTTGATCATCGTTCGGAGAAATCTGACTGCTGTAAAATATCAACAGGACGTTCTTATTCCTGCCACTATTCATTATGTTTAAACTGGTGGATGGGGTATGATACTTATACACGACGGTGCGCCGGCACACACAGCGCATGCCACCCGGTACCCACTACAACAGCAAAACATTCAGCAGCTTCCTTGGCCATCCAAGTCTCCAGATTTGAATGTTATTTAACACCTGTTGGATGAGTTGAATAGGCGTGGGCGCAAGGGTGTGGTACAACCGCGGAATCTACCAGAACTGGAACAGGCCCAAGAACATACCACAAAGATTTTTGAGGAACTATGTAATGGCCATGAGACAGAGGTGTATGAAAGTTATATAAGCTAAGGAAGGACATATTGGATATTTACTGTTTAATGTTGTGTTTTACTTATTATGTGAAAAGTATTGTGATAAAACAATCATTTCATATCGTTGTGTTGTGAATTATGTGATTTATTCTCTATTACTCATGTTTTATTTTTGTTAAATTTTATACTTTGTCATTCATTGACTACAGTAAAATTTTCACGATACATGTATGAGATGTTCATTTATCTATACATTTAATGTCATCAACAGGGATGTCACGGTTATACGAAATGCTAACCGTTAAACGACGACGTAATAACCGTGTTAAACGTTTAATCGACCATACTAACAAAATCCTTAGATTTTCAACATTACCTTGTTTCTTTATTTACAAGATATGTCATTTTGTTCTTTTGTTGTTATACTCAAAATGGTTACAATACATATCGGAATATGAAGTAACTATTTTCCTCTAGGGTCGTACCGTATTCGACAAGATCGGAAAATAACATTGTTGAGTACAACTAAAAACAAACGATAGTAATATCTCGTTATAAAAAACTAGTTTTAGAATAAATTTAAAACGTTTGTGTCCCTTAGTCAAGTGCTAACCTCGGTTGCCGGTTATTGAATTTTCTAACCGTTTTTTTTAGCTAAAAACCGACCGTACCCGTTTAAACGGATAAACGTGACACCCCTTTTTATAAACAAGCTAGGTTTAATCATTAGGACTCGTGTTCACTAACATTTAAGGATCAAGATCAAAAGCAGGATCTTATTTAAAACCTCAAATAGACTACACTGATGATAGTATAAGAGTAAATATTTAAAATAGGGCTTGAAGTAACATGTTTATGAAATATATTTATTATTTTACAAGATATGGCATTTTGATAGTTGATCAGTTATTATGCCCCCGCCATGTAATGGCCTGGGCATATAGTGTTACCCTGTTCCGTCATTCCGTCCTTCCGTCATTCCGTCCTTCCGTCCTTCCGTCCTTCCGTCATTCTGTCATTCCGTCATCATCAGTTTCCGTTCATTATCTTAAGAACGGTTGGGCACATTTAACTCAAATTTGACATATGGATATGTCATGAGAAAATACAGGTCAAGTTCGAATTTGGTCATGGTTCGATGATTTTTGGCAGAGTTATGCCCCTTTTACTTTGAAAATAATATGAAATTTCAGTTTCTGTTCATTATATCAAGAACGGTTGGACACATTCAACTCAAACTTGACATATGGATATGTTATGAGAAAATACAGGTCAAGTTCGAATTTGGTTATGGTTCGATGATTTTTGGCAGAGTTATGCCCCTTTTACTTTGAAAATAATATGAAATTTTCAGTTTCTGTTCATTATCTCCCCAACGGTACAACACAATCAACTCAAACTTGACATATGGATATGTCATGAGAAAATACAGGTCAAGTTTGAATTTGGTCATGGTTCGATGATTTTTGGCAGAGTTATGCCCCTTTCACTTTGAAAATAATATTAAATTTTCAGTTTCCGTTCATTATCTCCCTGAAGGTACAACACATTCAACTCAAACGTGACATATTGATGCGTCAAAGGAATGCGCAGGTCAAGTTCAAATTTGGTCGTGGTTTGATGATTTTTGGCAGAGTTATGTCCCTTTTACTTTAAAAATAATATGAAATTTTCAGTTTCCGTTCATTATCTCCCTCAAGGTACAACACATTCAACTCAAACGTGACATATTGATGCGTCAAAGGAATGCGCAGGTCAAGTTCAAATTTGGTCATGGTCCAATGATTTTTGGCAGAGTTATGCCCCTATCACTTTGAAAGTAATATGAAATTTTCAGTTTCCGTTTATTATCTCCCCAATGGTACAACACATTCAACTCAAATTTGACATATGGATATGTTTTTGGAATGCCCAGGTCAAGTTCATATTTGGTCATGGTTCAATGATTTTTGGTAGAGTTATGCCCCTTTCACTTTGAAAGTAATATGAAATTTTCAGTTTCCGTTCATTATCTCCCCAAAGGTACAACATATTCCACTCAAATTTGACATATGGATATGTTTTTGGAATGCCCAGGTCAAGTTCATATTTGGTCATGGTTCAATGATTTTTGGCAGAGTTATGCCCCTTTCACTTTGAAAATTATATGAAATTTACAGTTTCTGTTCATTATCTACCTAACAGTGTTACATATTCAATTTTAATTTGACATATGGATATGTCAAAGGAATGGGCAGGTCAAGTTGGAATTTGGTCATGGTTTGATGTTTTTTTGGCAGAGTTATGTCCCTTTCACTTTGAAAATAATATAGATACATCTTAGGAATAAGCAGTTTAAGTTTGAATTTGGTCATGGTTCAATGATTTTAGACAAACTTATCTTTCCTGAATGTTGGAAAAATTTTGAACTTTCAGTTTCAGCACTCATTCTTTTAGCCATTATTTTGGCTACAAATATGCAATATGCTTTTTCTAAAGGTTAAGACTGAATAATTTCAGTGCCTTGAACGTTGTATGGAAATGGTTTGTGTTAACATTGAAAAGTTTTAAGGGCTTTGAACTTAAAATGAAAAAAAAAAATTAATGCACCATCTGAAATTTTGGCTGCATGCGGGGGCATCCGTGGCATGATGACACATTTCTAGTTGATCTTGGTCTTGAAATTGAGCCTTATTCTGTTCCAATTACGTTTGTGTTTGTTTTGTCATTTGTCGATTTTGTGCTTAAATATCTTTTTAATCAAACATGTGTCTCCTTTTTGTTTATTTACCATTTAAATATAGCAAAATACGATTAATTTCAGTGCCATGAAACAAATCCTATCAGGATCATTTGATCTGGATACTTATCTTTCTTACTCAACACGAAGCGAGAATTTACATTTTGTTTTAAAGTCATTGTTAATGTGATGATTTCTATTTTTATGTGCCATCCACTGTATAAGTAAATATTTTTGCGTCACAAAAAGTTTGCAAATGTCCAAAACAGACTTTTGCGTGCGGAAATATTTGCGAAAGTAAGATTTCTAGATCCCCCGTAATATTAGCACGCTTGTGATAAAATATTTTGTTTGACGGTTGTGCACAAAAATCATGCGTATAATTGTAAACAATCATATTACCATAATACGCTATAGCCCGAGCATAATAAACAGAACTTTCGTCAGTTTTACAAATACCAGCACAGTCCACTAAAAGATTAACTCAGGTAAATATAGGTAAATGCAAGTGATTAACAAAATAATTACATTGAAAGTTATACAAATGATATTTAATGAGATGTTATCTTCGTTTGACTGTATAGCACAGTATGTAAGACTGCTTATTAATATGAAAATGAATTAAGCTAGCGGGTTGGAAACTGTTTAATTTTTTTTTCAAGTTTTAAGTCTTTCTTTTTTTTTTTTAAATTTCATACTGTCTGACAAAATAAATATGATTACGCATATGAACTTAAAAATATTGTATTTTTTGTCTCTTGAAAGTTAAAATATTCATACATTTGTAATATGAAATGCAAAACATATAATAAAGGAGGTGAAGATACTTCAATTAAAAGTAATATAAATACATCAATAAAAATAAATAAAAGGAATTATCGTTATGTAGTTTCGTGTATATACATGAAAGGGAAATTAAAAAAAAAAATGAAAAAAATGAAGAAAAAACTTTTGAAGCCTGTTACCCTCCTGTCGAGGAGTAGTCTTCCTCTGAACATAGTGCTCTACCGATTGAGCTATTGCGACATTTATTATTTTCTTTTACAATTATCAGTCAAACGTACAATCATTGAGATGTGCAACATTTCATTTACCTATATAGTATAGATATAGACTGTTCCATACTAAAAATAAATATGAAGAAAGTTATGTTTATCGTGCTCGGATTATAAGGGTATTTGTAATAGCGTCAATTCGATGTTTAATAAAAGTGACACTATGCTCATTTTTTTATTGTCAAATTGACTTTAATTGACTACATATTTCAAAAAACTGCCTTTTATAATGGTGATTGACTAACATATGATATTTGAAAATGTTAAGGGTAAAAAATAAAACTACCTAAATATATAAAAAGACTGCCGCACTCTTTGTATAAATTGAAAGTTACAGATACATTCCAATGAATAATTACACACATTTCACAGGGTCTTCATGTGAAGTAAATGATAAAATTGAAAGGAATTATGAAAAAATGTTAATTTATTTTGACTTTCACCTGTTCACTCTATATCTACCCATGGCTGGGCATAATATCACTTAAAGTATGAGAGTTGTTTAAGTTCTGCTCTGTGTTTGAGACTTTTTATATAGTTATTTGATCGCTTTAACAAACATGAGAGCGATATTTATAAAATTGTTTAGTTTTGTTTGTGTTTTACATGTCCTTAGATTATTGCTACTCCATTCTTCATCCATACAGAAAATGTATTCATGAAAGTGCTTTTAATTTGATATAATAATCATCGATTGTCCACGTTTACCTGTTTGAAAATAAGTCTTTTGTTATAGGTGATATCATTGACATGTACGTGTCATGCATACTTTCACAGGTGTGACAAGACAGCGTTAGCTATTAAAATTTTATTATGAACCTTTTTTCGCTATTATTTTACAGTGTGAATTTTTAAACGAACATTAAATCATGTTATATGTTTTCTTTGTATGTATCAAGATGTTTTTTTTAGATAGATATATTAGATATAGCTATCGGTGCACCGGTGTTATGGAAAAATGATGAATGACCACCGAAGACGTTACTAAAATTAATGTATCTTTTGTAGGCTGAACAATTTGCGAATTAGTTTGATCGCAAATATTTCCACTTAAACAGTTTTTATGAAAGTGATTCTTACGAGCGGCATATTTTAATTAATGGCAACGGCAGCGCGTTTTTTATAAAGAAGTCATACCCTTGAAAATTATTAGTAGTGTCCTTCAAAATATTCACCATGGACCTCTTCACAAATTTCCAGCCTCAGAATCCATTCCAAAAAATATTCGAACTGTTCTTTGGGAATACTGTGGCACTACGGGTTTCTAATCGGCGACCGTGAAGGCAAGATTTGATGTATGGATTTAACCAAAAGTCACACGGAGAAAGAACAGGACTTTAAGGGGGATGTAGCAAAACCTCATTTATCTGCTCCTCTAAATAAGCTTGAACCAAGGCTTACCGGTACGCAGGTGCATTATAATGGAGTAATTTGATCCTGCTCATCCCTGACCTTGGGTTCTTTGTACTGTAGTTAATAATTACAACAGTGAGAACATGGTCATGGTAAAATGTTCTAGTGACACTACCCCTCTCAGTCACAGCGACACTTGACACTGTTCCATTACTGTCAAAAATAGAGCGTACATAACTCTTTTAACGTTCCTGCTACGTCGAGCAACAACTGGGCAATCCCTTTTATCACCTATCGACATTTTGTTACTGAGTTAATTGTCGGGCTCAAACAAATATAGCCACGTTTCATCCTCTGTGGCAACTTCTCCCAGGCGTCTAGGGTATCGATCTTTAAAGCTAGTCAATAAGGTCGAGTTATTTTTCAACCAGCTTCATTTTCTTGTCAGAAGTAAGCAAATGCGGGATCCAACGGGCACTTTAACTTTTCTTTCAGGATGGAAAACACACATGACGCACTATGGCTCGATGTTTCATTTATCTCCACGGTATATCTTGCATCTTCATCAATTATGGCTTTGAAAATGCTGTCTTTTTCTTCAGAGGTAGCTGTAATTGGCCGCCCAGGGCGGGGATCATCCTTAACATTAGTTCTACTTTTCGTAAACATTGACAGCCACCTGGCAATTGTACGATATTGAAGGGTATTTTCTCCATAAACTAAATCTATATCCGTTTTTATTTCTGACGCGCATTTACCCAATAACCCATGATTTTTGCAATAAGGTTTTTGCTCCTCTCTCAAATCACATTGCAACTCAGCCATGTTTACAACCAGTTTACAATACCACATGTATTTAAATGACCTCCTAAAATTTGTTGCACGTGCAAATTGTGCGAAATTAGACTGTTGGTTAGAAAAATCAATAATCTTTCCAACAGTATATTATATATGTAATTTCACGTGAGTTGTTGCCACTTATTGAAATATGCCACTCGTATTTTATTTTCTTTTATCAGACTACAAAGAGTTTCCAAGATACGACAGCAGCGGATATTCAAGTAAGATAAATTTTTGCAAATATCAAAACGCACATCATAAAAGTTAATATTCATAATTCATATCTTTGTTTTCTGTGGCACGATTTGTTGAAGTTATTTTTAAGTTTTATCGATGGATATGGTTTATATAAATTTTTCAAGCATGTAGATTCTTCAAGGTTTTTTGAAACATATATAAATTATAACACAAAACATCCTAACATGTTCCACAGTAAAGGTATTTTAAAGATAAGAAGTCCGCATTAACATCTCGGCCACTCGTCAAACTTTTGTGTACGGTATTTGATTCTTAAAATACTGTAATGCAAACAATTTATAAGACGCTACTTTTAAATGCGAACGAAAATATTACTGATATGGGCTTATACTGGTTTATCTAATAAATTCATTTCTATTAAGTGGTAATGCCCTACATCTGGCACAACCCGACATCAGAAGTACACTACACTCGGAAATTATATTGATAGCCTTTTCTTTAAAAACTGTCGAATCATTTTCAAAATTTTGACTCTCGTCTCAGGACCTTTCAATTTGAATTTGTCGATATACAAACGTTGGTAATGAAGACAGTGAGGTTGACTTTTATTTTTTCCCCAGTCTGTCCTAAATATAGGGATATCGGAACAAAAAAATGACCTTTCAAGCAGAATTTTTGCCGTATGTTAGAGAAACATAACATAAAGCGTTGTTGACATTTCTCTTTGAGAAAGGGTATTACATTAGAATGGATAACTCTCGCAATAATATGGTCAGATGACCATAATTTAATTCTTGGTGACAATTGAAATTATTTTGAACATTAAGAGTGAGTAACATATACCAAAAAGTTAATATCTACAGGCATTATTGGACGATTAAGACAGCACTTTCATCTGTCATTTGTCGCTTTTTAACAATTGCGGACAATAAACTTCGGAACTACATATTTATATTTAAGTCCGACATTTTACATGTTTTATGAATATATATTTGTTTACATTAAAACCTGTAGGAATTGTTTTTTTATGAATAACTAATTGTAAGCCGGATTTGAGCCGGTATAATTTCTGTAATTATCATATTTTGATATGAAAATAATTAAATTAAATATAATTCATCCGCATGTAGATGTATTATTGTGCTCGTGAATGTTCAGGCTTTAAATTAATATGTAAATGTAATTTGATGTATGTTTATGTGGCCTTTCGTTTAATCCGTATATTACTTCTTATGTCTGTAGATCATAATTATACATGTATTGCTATATTGTTATATATTGTTTTAGATTGTTTAAAAGTTCCTGTCTTAAGTGGGGATTTTCATTGGCTGAAGTCTTTTTTGGACGTCCCAAAAGTTTACAAATAGTGGTAACTGTCGTCCCTTCCTCTCAAACGTAAAACATTAGAAGAACTCAAAGCTAAATAGCTCCTTAGCTTATTGTCTTACCTCATTCATTCAGAATTGCATGAAACGACTAATGGAAATATGGCTTCATTTAACTTAAACACAATAAGGACTAAATTTCTTAGCTGGATTTCAAGTTGATCTGTACTATATAGCAACTTCAACAACAACAACTTCAACAACAACAACAAAAACAATTAATCTTGTTTTTTTTTAATTTTAATTTACTTTTGTAGATAAACTCAAATCTAGCTTGAATTATCACGTTGTTAAGGGCCCTAAAGATGCATTTGTCTGAAAAAATAAGAAAAAAGAGATCCTCCCAATCGCTGGCTCTTGTTGAAAACATAGTTTCAAGGCATTGCCTTGTTTCTAGTGTTTGAATTTTTAAAGTATATACGTGTAGTAGACTGAACCGTCGAAAACATAGTTCCGTTGCTTTGCCATGTTACTTAGTTTTTTTTTTTAATTTTCAAGACATGTATTAGACTTACATGGTCGATATTGATTGTATCAATCTTTTGAATACGTTTGCGCAAAATAGCAATTAATATTGAAAACTTTAATTATGATACAATCTTTGATAATACAAAACATGCAAATGTTTGTTCTGTTTTCTTCTGCAGCTGCTTCAACAATTTTTTTCGCAGAAAGAACGCATGTTGTCAGCCCTGATTTCGCGGACAAGAGTGACCCAATTTCGCTATCCGAAAGACGTGGCCTTACTACAGAAAATGAAAGCACCATTAAAAGAAATTTCAGATATCTGAAGGAGGAAATTGATGTAGATTGTGGACTGCTAGATCACTTTATTCAAGAAAACATCTTTACCGATGATCAAGTGGAGTCTGTCAATTCAGCTGGTTCACGACGGCGGAAAGTGGATTGTTTCCTCAGAATGCTCCTGCGTTCGAAACGGTTTGCATATGGACAATTTCTGGACGTTCTGAAACACACAAAATGTGATCATATTCGGGAATTCCTTGAATCACAATTATCTCAAGGAAAATTAGGTGTGTTTATGTTTTGAACATTTCAAATAATCCCGTTCCGGACGTTCTTTTGTGAATCAATCTTTTTCTCTTTTTTTTTCTTTGAATGTTCATCGTTTGTCGGCTATGTCACAATATAATGTCTGTTACTTGACCGATATGACTACACTATATATTAAATACTTAACTGAAGACAATCAGCAAATTGAATTTCTTTTGATCATAATTAAGAATTGTAAACGAGTTTGAGAGTGAAACCCTAGCTTTATTGGCAGATCACTATAACTCCTATGACGGAAACGACTGCTTCAATACAATCACAACTACATGTTTATTCAAACGAAAAGAAACTGTACATATAGATTTGGCATACATACATTCTCAAAGTGTCATATTTACGATATTTGATTAGATTCTGATATTATCAATCAAAATTTGGTACATGGATCTCGTAATAATGTTCTTGTTCACCGTATACGGCCAAGTGTCCAATTATCGGAACAAAAATGAGGTCTAACAGACTTGACGTAACATTAAATGACATGAAGAAGGGGGTGTTTTTCCATTCGTCTTGCATGGGCATATTGTACTTGTTGCTACAAATTGTTGCTAAACTAATCAACCAAAAAGCCCGCAAAATGCTCAATCAGACTTAGATTAAGACAAACGGAGGGACAACGCAAAACGTGAAAACCACTTCCACATTTTTATGGTTTCATTAATTTTTACTCAAGTAAAGTATTTTACAGCAGTACACCAATATCACAATATTTGTTTATTATGCCCCCGCCATGTAATGGCCGGGCATATAGTGTTACACTGTTCCGTCCTTCCGTCATTCTGTCCTTCCGTCATTCTGTCATTCCGCCATCATCAGTTTCCGTTCATTATCTTAGTAACGGTTGCACACATTCAACTCAAAGTTGACATATGGATATGTCATAACAAAATACAGGTCAAGTTTGAATTTTGTTATGGTTCAATGATTTTTGGCAGAGTTATGCCCCTTTCACTTTGTAAATAATATGAATTTATCAGTTTTCATTCATTATCTCCCAAACGGTACAACACATTCAACTCAAACTTGACATATGGATACGTCAAAGGAATGGGCAGGTCAAGTTCAAATTTGGTCATGGTTCGATGATTTTTGGCAGAGTTATGCCCCTTTCACTTTGAAAATAATATGAAATTTTCAGTTTCTGTTTATTATCTCCCCAACGGTACAACACATTCAACTCAAATTTGACAAATGGATTGTCATGAGAAAATACAGGTCAAGTTCAAATTTGGTCATGGTTTGATGATTTTTGGCAGAGTTATGCCCCTTTCACTTTGAAAATAATATGAATTTATCAGTTTTCATTCATTATCTCCCCAACGGTACAACACATTCAACTCAAACTTGACATATGGATATGTCAAAGGAATGGGCAGGTCAAGTTCAAATTTGGTCATGGTTCAATGATTTTTGGCAGAGTTATGCCCCTTTCACTTTGAAAATAATATGAAATTTTCAGTTTCTGTTTATTATCTCCCCAACGGTACAACACATTCAACTCAAATTTGACATATGGATATGTTTTTGGAATGTCCAGGCCAAGTTCGAATTTGGTCATGGTTCAATGATTTTTGGCAGAGTTATGCCCCTTTCACTTTGAAAATAATATGAAATTTACAGTTTCAGTTCATTATCTACCCAACAGTGTTACATATTCAACTCAAATTTGATATATGGATATGTCAAAGGAATGGGCAGGTCAAGTTGGAATTTGGTCATGGTTTGATGATTTTTTGTCAGAGTTATGTCCCTTTCACTTTGAAAATGATATAGATACATCTTAGGAATAAGCAGTTTAAGTTTGAATTTGGTCGTGGTTCAATGATTTTGGACAAACTTATCTTTGAAAATTCTTGAATGTTGGAAAAATTTTGAACTTTCAGTTTCAGCACTCATACTTTAGTTGAAATGTATGTAGCCATTATATTGGCTACAAATATGAAATATGCTATTTTCAAAAGGTTAAGACTGAATAATTTCAGTGCCTTGAACATTGTATGAAAATGGTTTGTGTTAACATTGAAAAAGTTTAAGGGCTTTGAACTTAAAATGAAAAAAATAATTTGTGCAAACAAATTTGGAACTAAATTTTATAACATCTGAAATTTTGCCTGCATGCGGGGGCATCCGTGGCATGATGACACATTTCTAGTTTCATTTTTATTTCAATTCTACATGCACGAAACTCAAAACATTAATCTACACAAAACCGATATTTGAAAATAAATTACACCACTCAATATGTTATGCAATTTTATCAATCATTGTTCTAAACATAATTTATTTTCAATAGTGAGTATCACAAAAGACTATCAAATTCCTGTGTTCATACTTATGCGTTTAAGGATAAACAAATAGTCAATGCTTTCAACATTTTAATTTTTTTCTTTTTTGGTGCAAGTTATGCACATTATAATAACTATGCTGTTACATAATAAAAAACAATTGAAAGGAACTGCACCTTACTACTCGTTATAAATCCTAGTTTTTTCAATCATTTGTTCTTACATTTTTAATTGTGAATGACATCAAATGTTTATTTGTTTTTCCAGAGGTAGGCAACTGCACTGTGCTTGATGCTGTCAAAGGACAACATGCTATTCATTTGCATTATGATGTTATTGTAGATCAATTAGAGCCCGACAACATTGCTGATTTTTTCATACAGTATGAGGAATTTACTGTTGATGAGTATGAATCTGTTATAAGTCAGATAACACGTAGAGACAAAGGTTTAAAGCTCCTGGAGATACTTTCTTTTGCAAAACATATGCCTCGGGGATATTTTGTTCTCCTTAAAGCATTGGAAGACACAAAGGAGATATATTTATACCAGTTGCTGACCAGTAACTTGAAATTTAAATCAGGCAAGGACCATTACAAAATTTTATATTTCTTTGTTTGATAAAAGATCATTCTGCAAACATTCTTCATCATTAAATTGTAAGTTAACATTGTTGTGCTTAGTTTTGCTTCAAATGATGAAATACGTTCAATGTATGCATAAAACATGCTGGTGATTGAACCTACCTTTTTCAGATAAAATACAGACAAGAAAATGTTAAATTTTGTTTAACTTGGTTTATATTCTATAGATCCTGAACTACATGTTAAAGATACAAAACAAATGACTCAAATTCTGCTCCTACAAGAAGAACAGACTCACATGAAAGGTAAGTATTGGAGTATACTGTTTATGTCAATAAATATAAAAATAACGTGAAAAAACGATAATTTTCAACAACGGAAAACATTTGATAATTGAGAATTGCATTTTTGTTATTTTCTTGTAATAATTGTATGCAAGGATACAGAAATAACATAGATTTACAGCTTATCAAAAAAGTTAATATTTAAGTGTTTGCTTATGAAATCGCTTACACAGTCGCTTTAGAGAGTTATGTAGTTTTGAGATCAAAGTTTAAACATCATAAAGGTATTCAGTCTGAGAAACGAATTTCTGTATGCTTCTCCTATAGGAAGAATCATCGAGGTGCATCCAACATAAGAACCGGACAGTTATATTTTAAAAGAAATGGAAAAAAATAATAATTAAGGATATTATCAATCAAATCAAGTCTCTTTTGTAAAAATGTATGTAAATGTAGATGATTAGAGGTAACAAACTCTTTTAAATTGAAAAAGATAACTTCGATTGTAATAAGTAAATATTTTTTCCAGATGAGAACGAAATTATTATCAAAACAACGATAGTTACTACAGTTAAGAAACAAAAAGAAGCATTTGGGCAAAATAAAGACACAGAAGGGAAAATAATTGAAACAATAAAGATGGAAAATGTCCAATTTGAATTAAATGATATTCTCTTTTCCGATACAAAATGTTTGATTACCGACGTGAAGAAAGGAAGTATAGTGTTTCGAATTAAGTGTTGTGAAAATAATTCATTGAAGGAATTACTGAAGAAAGGGAATCAGGAAGGCATACAGAAAATCCTTAAAGTGATTTTCTCACATCCACATGTACAGAAATATCTAGGAGAAGGATATGTTTTGGTTACAGAACTTGAATATATGAAAACATGTGATGAAGAGAAGATAGCTGGTATGTCTATAACCGTTGTTATTAAATTACCGAAATAATCGAATTTATTGATCTAATATTATTGTTAATTATGGATTGCTTTTGAAATATTTGATCTTTGACTAGGATGTTAAATATTTTTGAATAAAATACTGCTATGTATTTCAGGAAAAAAACATACAAGCAAAGACGTCCTATCAAAGAATTATTCTTTTATGGTTGAAGAGATTGACTCCGTCTTGTTTCAAGATCTAGATATATTTACCCAGGAAGAAAAATATAAATTGTGTGAATTGAGAAAAGTGTCTCGGGCTAAGGCAACTATGGAAATGTTCACATTCCTGCTGGCCAAACCCGAAAGTGATGTTGACAAGTTTTTGGAAGAAATAAAGCTGAAAAAGAAGTTTATATGGAACCATATTTGTTCTGAAGGTATGGGTTGTTTTCGTTTTAATGATACGCGTTTTTTACAGCTTCGGCTAGCTTTTAGTCTTTGATATGATGGGAAATATTTGTAAGCATGTTCACAGTATTAATACACACTGCCGACAAAATTGTCTTATTCCTCTGATGCCTCATTAAGAGATATTTTTTTTTATAATAATCAATGTTTAAGCGATGAAAGTTATATCAACAATTGTCAGGTCATGAGTCACAAAATATTTGCTTTGTTTTTTTTGGTAAATACTCTTATGTTTTCCCTATAATTCCGGATCAATAATGAAGAAAGTTCTAATGTCACATATCTAAGAAGTGATTGAGCCAAATTATGAGAGATTTTGCAGTATCCAGTGTCTGACTTCCACAATAGCAAATATTGTCTTTGAAATTCGCCAATTGATATTGCATTCAATGTTTTATTAAGGATCTCTAAATCTCATAGTTAAATATGTCAACAGAAGTGTTAAATGCATATGACGGGTTGTGTTCAAATACTAGTACTAGTGGTGAGTACCAATATTGTGAACGTACATAACGTAAATAAAATTAATATGATCCTTTATTATAGATGTTCAATATTTACCTGACGATGCTTTGGTGTCATGTTATGATATTCTTGTGGAAAACATAAGCCCCTCCATCATAGCCAATCACTGTATAGATAACAGATTATTACCGAACTATCAAGCCTTCGCATCAACAGTACACCAAAGAAAATCACGTGCTAAATATATGGTTCACGAACTCTTAAAGGATGGGTCTCTGGAAAAAACAACCTTCCTAGGAATTGTTTCAAAGGTTGACAACAGTTCCTGGGATCTTTGTAAAGAAAGTCAAGGTAAATGTAAAGTAATTTTGACACACAACACGTTTTCAATTTGTCATTTTCAGTATAGTTTTCGACTTGTGTATTTTCAATTAGTGAAACGGTTTAAGCATACAAGTATGCGAGTATATTGTTAAAATGACTAAAACAGTTCAAGATCATAGCTTCTTAAAATATTTATCTTCTTCCAATTGAATAATTCAATATACATGTACCTGTATTAATGTGAGTTTGATAGGTTAGTGTGGCTATAAAATGGCTCGAATAAATATATGTAGGAAGGAAAAAGTAACCTATTGTCTTTAATTTTAATTGTCAAAAAACATTCTGGATGAAGAGGTATTTCTTACATAAGGAATTATAATAATTCTTCTGTAACAGATCTATAGCTACAATATGTAACTTGGTTTCAGGTACTGTCAATGAACAAGCTCAATCAAACCGAGCCTGCAACAGTTTCAATATTGCTCTTTTGTTAAGGAATCTATAATTTTTTATTATGTTCAGTTTATTCAACAATTTTATTCTGAGCTCCGTTACTCATCTTAACTAAAACATACTGTCTGTTAAAGACATATCTTTTGTACAGAGAAATATTGAATGAGTTTCTCAATTTAAATCACTGCAATATCTTGGCTAAGATGCTTCTCTTATAATTTGCTTATAGAATGAATAGACTAAGTATTGAAAACGAGTATCATTTTTATACTAACTTGTCCTTACAGAAAAAAAGGAAATGTATGCTAGCCCATTTAAAACAATTAATACAATGCCTCTTAATAATATTTTAAACAAAATTCCAAGATTTGCATATTTAGCTAACGTATAACGTTAAAAAGAAATATGCATGACCATAATTTATTATTATGTTTTAAGCGGATATCATATGCCAAACTAGCTTGTGACTTACTTCCAATATTTCCATGATGCAATCAACATGAATTGTTCATGACTTATATGTGCTGATTTTTTTTTTGGATAAAATATTAGATACATGAAATACATATAATTGTTACTTTTTAATAACATACCTTTCACTTTTGGTCATTTTATTCGACAAACTTTTGTGAGTTGGCGATGAACGTTGTATAAATTGATGCCAAATAAGTTATTGAATTGAATCGAAATGGTTTTAGAAAATACAATTTATTTAAGCTAATCTATTCCTGTACCTCTACATTAATATGTCAATAGTTTTATACCTTTTTAATTCCAATGACATAAAACTCAGGATGTATGCTGAAATCAAAGCTGAAGTCTAAAGATGAAGTTAATGAGCATTGTGGGTCTCTAAGTATACCTAAACCTTCCGAGAATGACGAAGCTGCTTCAATTGGACCTTGTCAGGAACTGAAACAAATAGATGATGAAAGGATAAAGTATAAAACTAAGATAAAGATTCATCACTTGAACAAAGGTGTGGATAGAAATGAAACCTACGTGTAATGAAATAGCAAGTAAACTTTTCTAGGCTATTGTGAAAAAACAGCAATTTAAAATCTGTGAATTTGTTATTGTAAATTGTATGTACTCTACACTTAAGATTATTGTTGTTGTTTTTTTTGGTCATAACTCACATCATGCATAGCAAAATGCATAGCCCTTGTATTCATCTTTCTAGAGTTATTTCCTGTTTGAACTTACATTTTTACTTTAAAAAGCTTAGTCTCTGCTCTTTTCCTTTTTGAATTGAAGGGATTGACTTCAGATTTTAAATTGCTGTTTTTTCACAATAGCATAGAAGTATTTGTTTAACTTTCATTGACATGGTCGCATGTGAAAATATGATGCAAACCTATATATTCATATCATAATTAATTTCTTTTCAAAGCTATGTCACCCTTTGCTGATTCCAGTATTTAATAAGTCAAGTATCTCCTCTGACAGCTTTTGTTTATTCTGTTTTTCATTTAACCGAATTCGTTTAAAATGATTGTGCACAATTTCAAAAATTGGTAATGAGTTGTTTGCTTATTTTGTCTTAACTACTAAAGCTATGCCAATTCAATTAAAAAGCCAATTTTTAGAATAACAAACTTGATTTAAGGAACGCAAATATTCAATGGAATTCAATAAATTTGTTTTTGGTTATACAAAACATAAAGTAAAAACATAAAACAATAGTAATAAAGGTTAGTAAAATAAAGTTTGTTTCATCGTCCCTTGAAATTCAAATTCAAAGGCAGTTGCAGTCACGTAACATTGTAAACGTTCATTTTTTGTATGCACGTTTTTAGGAAATGTACAATCATCTGTTTTTCAAACAAATGTTTGAAGCATTCTTTTTCAAAATACAAACATTAATTTATAAATAGCAGATAATAGATATTAAGAAAGCGTCTCAGCAATGACGATTTAAATCAATGTATAACAGTGGGAACGATAATTTCTTAATAAGAAAGACATACAATGTAATCGTTTCAATTTGACTTGCTTTCATATTGGTCACAATAAATCAAATTTGTTCGCACGTGCCTGCTATAGTTTACTTTTGAAAAATTGAAAAAAGAAATGAGAAACACATACATTCAGCTGCATATTTGATTAAACATTTTGTATTGTACCATTCAGCGGAAGTTTCTGAAACATCTGAAACTGAAGAGGGTAAGACAGGTGTAAAAAGAACGCCAGACCAAGCTGATACTGAAAGCGGGTATGAATCATTGTCTTTGAACAGAAGAACAGAGTTGCTTGAAGGATTTAGCTTGCTAGGTAAATTATATGTCTTTGATTGGTTATTTTAGATGGCTTTATATTTATATCTTTTATGAAAATAAAAAAAAACTGACTGAAATAATATCCAAAAAAGACAAAAGTGACTTAAAATGTTAATTAATACACTTTTCTTTTTCTGAGAAATTATAACTGGATAATTAAGAGAAACAGTGTGTTGCGGTTATTTTATTTTCAAATAATTGTTTTCTTTCAGTTTGAATATCTTCGGAAGATCTGGTGCCAGTAGAGCATGTTATTTATCGAAACAAGTTATAGCAGTCATTAAATCTCTCTGTGTGAACAGACAATATACATACAGTAAATAACAAATTGCACATTCCGTGTAGATATATAACCACTTGTATCATTTTAATGGAGTTGCAAACAGCTACGTATGTGTTTGACAAAGTGAAACAAAACTCCTGAAGCTAACCTTGATGATTTAAGCACTGTCCTGGCATTATTTTCTTACACGCCAGTATGACAGACAACCTTGTTAAGCAAGAAATCGACCTATGGTTAGGTTATAGTTACATTGTTACTTTAAGGGTTAATTATACGTTCTTTATCTTTAATCTGAAAATTTCAATTTCTATAAAGACTGTAGCTAAAAGGTAAGGCAACTCACATCGATTCATACAAAAACGTTTTGTAAAGACATGCAACAAATATTTAAGGTGATATCATAAAACATATAAGCATTGTTGTACATTTTAGAAAGTAATATAACCTCCATATATATACATTGCCATGTTTTAAACAGTGTTGCATGTAAAAACAGTTTTAATTAATTCATTCTTAATGTCAGTCCATTGGCCCAAATTAGAGTCTCAATAAAATGATAATATACATTTTTCTCGTATATGTAACATATACTACATGTTAACATTTGAAAATAACAGTTTCATATGTCTTATAAACATTTATTGCAGACGGAATTTGTTGTGATATTGAAATTTAAACCAGCATGCTATTTGCATGTGAACAGATAATTAATGGAAAGAGAAGATACATTTCTTAGAATTCGTACTCATACCAATATTTTTTGTGTTAATTTGTGAAAGTTTTATATAAATACTCCGGTACGTGAGTAATTATAACATATTTTACAGTTCCTTAAACCATAAAGCTTTTTTTATGTGTACTTTTTATGAGTTCTTAGAATTTTGGTCAACCTGCTAGATTACATCGTGTATATTCAGAATACGCCTGGCTTGCTTATTGAGGGTGACTAGCTATTTGTGTTTTGCCGATTTATATTAATACTAAACGTAAAAATTACATAATGTCTTTTTATATTCGGTATACCTCAGGCATCTGCGTAACTATTGTAAAAAACCCACTCAAATATTTTTTAAAGTATTTAATCACTTATCATATCATGGATGTGTACAATGTCGATTATTTTCTATTTCAAATGTATTATTCTATAACAAGAAATCGTAAACTTAACTATTACCTATATGAAAAATGTTTATTATCACAGGATAAAACCTATATTTTGTCAAATAATTCAGTAGAAACGTATCGTTTCGTTAAATTATCGTGTCGATAACTAAATCTATTCGCACAAACACATACATGCAAATGTACGAGGGTTGTTCAAAAAGTAATAGGACTGCAGTTCTACCGTTCACATTTTTTAATTTACGTGCTTTATTTTACAAGATAATTATATCGGAACATATCCTCTATATACAGTGAAATAATCAATAAAATATGTTTAAGAATAACGAGTCTGTGAAAATTTCAAATGACAAGGGGTACGCGACCCGGCGCACGCTAACAGCAGAATAAATGACGTTTATGACGTCGTAAAAAAACAAAATGTATCAAGCGTCATCCCTTCTGAAAGAATTCTCCCTAGTGTTCTTGGTGTCTAAATCATGTAACTTTGACCAGACCTCATATGTGGAGATGAAGCGAGAAAGAAAACGATCACATTCTCGTTCCACTCTTCGGAATTAAAAGCCCGATAGCCGGCCACTCTCCGCTATTTCTCGTATTCTAATCAATATAGATTAAACAGGCATGAACTTATGATGTTAATGAAAAAGCGATTAATAGAATTATTTAACACATATCATCGTACGTTCTTAAAACAATATGATTATGTAAGTAAAATAATAAAAATAGTTATCAACTGAAAAGTATATTTTCCTACTAGGAACAGCGTATCATTTTTAAAAGAAAATCGGGGAAAAATATTAATAATTACAGTTAATCATTATTACATTAATTTATTGATAACACATATATCTAGTTAAATGAAATAGAATTTTGTTTGAAACAAATCATTTCGGCAGAATTGAATCAATAGACCCAATGCATAAATCAAACATGCCGGACAGTTCGTGAACTGTTTACCGTCTATCATTTTGTAGCGCTTTTTCATTTGACGTCACTAACGTCCCGTCAATTTACCGCTATCATTCTCATCCTTTCCTGTTTGTGATCTCGTATGTGCAGTTTTTGAAGTGCTTGCGCAAGCTGAATACGAGTATCCTGATAGCCGATTAATTGTAATGTGTTAATTTTATGTTTTCATATGTATCTGAATGAGTATCGCCAATTTGTTGGCAAAGTTTAACGATCGCACACATTTTCAGTTTTTAACGAACGTCAAATTTCTACATTTAACGTTATGACCACTGCTATTCAAAACTTGATGATTTAGCCATTTCATGTCTGAATGACGTTAAATTTGGGCATAGTGTCACTAAAATATAATAAATTGTGTTGGCGGAATAAATGGGGAAAAAAAAGAAAATACATTATGAATAAAATAAAAGTTCAACTTAGTTTCAATAACTTTTTATGTGCTGCGCCGGGTGCGTGTTACCATGGTTATTCAATAACACAGGGAACACGCGTTAAGCACAAGAATTCAATAATTTTATGCTTAAATTGAAGAAAACATTTTTCGATCGTTGTACATATAAAAATATTCTAAATTGAATTGAATATGAAGATGCAAGACTCTTAGTCCTATTACTTTTTGAACAACCCTCGTACATGGCAGAAAAAAGAAAAGATACTTCTTTAGAATGTGTCATTTTGTTTTGGCAGATAACTGAAAGTTTCAATGTTATACGAGGAGTGTCCAAGAATTGCGTGGGCTTTTGCAACTTTATTGCATTAGTACAAAAAATTTAAAGGTGTCCGGCAACTGGATCAGTGTCTGTGGGCAGGGTAATGAGACAAGGGGTAGCGGGTGCGGGGCGACGTCATTCCGGTGGCGTCGCTTGTTGTCAATAAATGCGTGGCGTCGAAGCCTAACTCAATACACCTATGGTGTCGATATATCCACTGGTCGTACACTGTAATAATAATAATGATAATAATAATAATAATAATAAAGCATACTATTATTTTTTGTTACGATAACAGTGTTAAAGACGACGGTGATAATGCTGACGCCGTATTATTATTATTATTATTATTATTAATCATTATTATTTTTATTATTATTATTATTATAATTATTCGTTTTATTATTATTATTATTATTATTATTATTGTGGAGTTGATTTTGTACGCAAAGACAATGTGCGTTAACAAGCGAAATAACCTATCATGCGCACTGCTAACTATAGCAGTTTGAGTTCACTTTCTTAAAAGCTGAAGCGGATAAATTGCGTTTAAAATAATAAATAGTGATTAGCTTAATTTTTAAAAATCATTTTTTTAAACACAAAATTATTGCTTACCCTTGAATAGTACTCAGCATTGTAACTTTTGTCCCGATCTATGACGTCCTTCACTTCCTTAATTGACGCCGCAGTCAACGTTGACTTTCTCCCACTATCCTTGTCGTCTTCAATGTCCTCCCGGCCGTCTCGAAAAAGCCAGTTTGACGTGTACCCTGTATTGAATAGATATCTATGTTGTTATACATGTTGGTAAAGTGTTATATTATACAGCAGAATGAATATATTTTCCTTTAAACCGAAAGTTATTATATACTATTCATTTGATTATAATCGCTTTTTCTAAATTTCACCAAAACCAAGAATTATTATGCTCTATTTCAAATTTGTAAACTGAATGGTGATTGGTAGATGAAGTTAAAATCAACTATGTTAAATAATAATGCTGAATGTCTTACAATTTACAAACAATTTGGTTTCAGTCTAGAAATCATTATGAAACAATAACAATTGTTCATTTTACCTTTTATTATGCTAAGAAAGTGACAATATACTACTAAATGGTTGTCCAGTAAATATCTAGAGAACATTTGCCTACAGTACTTAAGACTATGTCACATGACCAGCGGGGACCGTCCAAGATAGTGGAATCATTGGGACATTTTGATAATTGAGATCGGAGAGTAACATTTTAATCCTTTTCGAGGAGAACGGGTGGCCATTCACCCGGCGTAGTAGGTATTCAGGCGATTTCCAAAGGGTGCTTTCCCTTTCATCGAGTGGAAAACCTGTGGCATCTTCCTTTTGGACATCGTATAATATTGTTAAGGCAATCGGCCAAATACCATTCAAAAAATATTTAAATTGTCCGGTATCCTGCAGATTGGCAACCATTGTTTTTTATCAGGGCAAATGCTTTAAATACCCATTCTGCTATCGGATGGAAGTCGTATGTACGTGCACTTTGAGTGAGAAAGTGGCTGCCTTTATGTCGGTTTAACACACCACTAGACCATCATGACACCTTACGGCGTGGATCTGTGTCCCAGCTGGTGACCTGTCGAAAGGGCTTCGGAGATTGTACGGACAGCGCTGGGAAATCGGAGCATGGTAAGGCACCAATTGTGTTAACATTTTCTCCAACATGCAAACCATACAGCCAGCATTAGGATTTTGTTCACCGCGTCTGCTATGGTGAGCGGGTGATGTGTCTCACCGGTGATATGCCGGAATAAAATAACTGTAGCGCTGAATTTATCCGGTGACGTGTACGATGGCTCTTCTGTTTTGACACTGGGGGGGGGGGGGCGGGGCAAAAGTATACCTATGCAGGTTGTATTAGATATTGGTGTTATATCAGATGATGTTTGGCTGGTTTGATGTAAACACAGGACAACGTCAAGGATATTCTTTGTCCTCTGTATTATTGAGCAGATTCATTAACGATCTTGCAGTCGGTGTTAAAAATTTAACCATGGAATTGTTTTTGAAAATGAGCGCATTTCTTTCTTTTTATATGCAGATGATATTGTTTTACGTGCAGAAAATGAATCGAGTTACAAAATATGTTATCCTTTTTCAAGGATTGGTGTATTGCAAATGAAATATTTGTCAATGATACAAAATGTAAAGTTGTGCATTTTAGACCTAATTCCATCCAGCATTCAGATTTCATTTTTAAGTGTGATAAATTCAACTACCTTTTGTAAAAATCTAGTGTCTGATATGATAAATGCTGTTATTGATACTCATATTCTGCAATGGAGAACCGATATTGATTGAGTGTCAAGTGCTAGTGAATAGTTATGCACAATCTAATGTTTATCTTTTTTACTGAAATGTATGAGATTGTGCACGGATGAGACTATAATATATAATTTAATAAATAAATACAAACTTGCATGTTGTTAATATTGCGACAGCTGTCGGATTGTTCGAAGTGCGACAAGCGTTCATTTGTAGGAAAATTAAATTTGAGTACTTGTTTGTAGTTGAAAAACCTTGATTTATAAAGTAAAAGATGATCAAATCAGGAAACATTCATATAAGAGATGTCTTTTTGGTAAGGAATTATTTTTAATTTTATTTCATCAAAAATTGACATTTTCAACGGGTTAAAATATAATATCACAATTAAATGTTTTTTTTTTTGTTTTTTTTTTTTTTTTTTTAAACTTAAATCAAAAGATAAGCGTTTCTAAAAACAAAGAAAGATAACTGTTTAAATTTGTAAAGAACGTTTCTAATACCATTTCACTTATTTTTTCATGTTGTGTAATCACTGTTGTTGTTGTTCAGAATTAAACTGAATAAACAAAAATCTCTGTACATGTATACAATGTTTAACTAATTATTTGATATACTCACTAAAAGATTTTTCAATAAAGTTGAATAGATTACAAGTAAATTATTTATAATTATATTAAGATTTTCTGTGTTTGTATGAATAATAAGGGAAAACAATAATAAATAAGAATTCATTTAAATGTCTTCTAAAAATTTGATACAAAATATCAAAATTTAATTGTTAGTACTAACCATTATGTTTCTGATTTCAATAGATTATTTCAAATATTGAGCTAGATTAATTTTTTGTTGGAAGAAATCAGTTTAATAAATTTTTACAGAGAATTTTTTTAACATATTTTTATCGTATGTCAACATAGCGTAAGAATATCAAACCAAAATGGTATTCGTCTACAAATTAAGTAACTGTTGAATTCTGTTTTGCTCATATCTGCGAATGTGGGCTTTTACCTATAATACCCATGTTTGTGTAGCTTGTTGTTGATTGCCGATTTGACTTTTCTTTGATTAAAACTGAAATTTTGGTGAACTTTTGAATTTGACATTTCAAGGAAAACAGTGCAGTAAAGTTTATGTGATTCATAAGGATTTTTTTAATCGATGCTAAAAGTTAAGAATCTTATTCTATTACATTCTGTTGTATCTGTTATCAAAGAGTATATTCTCGAGTCGAACGAAAAAACGAGTTCTAAGTTTCAGAGGCTGAGGAATTTGTTTTCGAGAATTATTGCTCTGAACAAAAATGCCCCTTTTTACGAAATTCGCTATTTGAAAGAGAATTATTTTGTAATTTTGACAGTTTTTTATGTGTTACATGATGGATAGAAGAACAAGCTACTGTCTTTTGATTTCAATTTCATCAGTTTCGGCAGATATGGGCAGAAAGGGCTTGGCAACCATCGCTCGTTTTTAGCCTATGTCAACCTCGCCTGATTAAATTGATATCGAAATTAGTAGCATATTATTTTCTCTCTCTATATATATCAACTTTTTCTAAATACTCTATGGTCCATTAGGGCGAAATCGATATAGTTTTATTTTGTGTAAATACCTAGGAATATTAAAACATTACTATCGGTTAAACATTTGGGAGTTAATATACATTTGGTAGGTAGGTAGGTAGGTAGGTAGGTAGGTAGGTAGGTAGGTAGGTAGGTAGGTAGGTAGGTAGGTAGGTAGGTAGGTAGGTAGGTAGGTAGGTAGGTAGGTAGGTAGGTAGGTTAGGTAGGTAGGTAGGTAGGTAGGTAGGTAGGTAGGTAGGTAGGTAGGTAGGTAGGTAGGTAGGTAGGTAGGTAGGTAGGTAGGTAGGTAGGTAGGTAGGTAGGTAGGTAGGTAGGTAGGTAGGTAGGTAGGTAGGTAGGTAGGTAGGTAGGTAGGTAGGTAGGTAGGTAGGTAGGTAGGTAGGTAGGTAGTAGGTAGGTAGGTAGGTAGGTAGGTAGGTAGGTAGGTAGGTAGGTAGGTAGGTAGGTAGGTAGGTAGGTAGGTAGGTAGGTAGGTAGGTAGGTAGGTAGGTAGGTAGGTAGGTAGGTAGGTAGGTAGGTAGGTAGGTAGGTAGGTAGGTTAGGTAGGTAGGTAGGTAGGTAGGTAGGTAGGTAGGTAGGTAGGTAGGTAGGTAGGTAGGTAGGTAGGTAGGTAGGTAGGTAGGTAGGTAGGTAGGTAGGTAGGTAGGTAGGTAGGTAGGTAGGTAGGTAGGTAGGTAGGTAGGTAGGTAGGTAGGTAGGTAGGTAGGTAGGTAGGTAGGTAGGTAGGTAGGTAGGTAGGTAGGTAGGTAGGTAGGTAGGTAGGTAGGTAGGTAGGTAGGTAGGTAGGTAGGTAGGTAGGTAGGTAGGTAGGTAGGTAGGTAGGGTAGGTAGGTAGGTAGGTAGGTAGGTAGGTAGGTAGGTAGGTAGGTAGGTAGGTAGGTAGGTAGGTAGGTAGGTAGGTAGGTAGGTAGGTAGGTAGGTAGGTAGGTAGGTAGGTAGGTAGGTAGGTAGGTAGGTAGGTAGGTAGGTAGGTAGGTAGGTAGGTAGGTAGGTAGGTAGGTAGGTAGGTAGGTAGGTAGGTAGGTAGGCAGGCAGGCAGGCAGGCAGGCAGGCAGGCAGGCAGGCAGGCAGGCAGGCAGGCAGGCAGGCAGGCAGGCAGGCAGGCAGGCAGGCAGGCAGGCAGGCAGGCAGGCAGGCAGGCAGGCAGGCAGGCAGGCAGGCAGGCAGGCAGGCAGCAGGCAGGCAGGCAGGCAGGCAGGCAGGCAGGCAGGCAGGCAGGCAGGCAGGCAGGCAGGCAGGCAGGCAGGCAGGCAGGCAGGCAGGCAGGCAGGCAGGCAGGCAGGCAGGCAGGCAGGCAGGCAGGCAGGCAGGCAGGCAGGCAGGCAGGCAGGCAGGCAGGCAGGCAGGCAGGCAGGCAGGCAGGCAGGCAGGCAGGCAGGCAGGCAGGCAGGCAGGCAGGCAGGCAGGCAGGCAGGCAGGCAGGCAGGCAGGCAGGCAGGCAGGCAGGCAGGCAGGCAGGCAGGCAGGCAGGCAGGCAGGCAGGCAGGCAGGCAGGCAGGCAGGCAGGCAGGCAGCAGGCAGGCAGGCAGGCAGGCAGGCAGGCAGGCAGGCAGGCAGGCAGGCAGGCAGGCAGGCAGGCAGGCAGGCAGGCAGGCAGGCAGGCAGGCAGCAGGCAGGCAGGCAGGCAGGCAGGCAGGCAGGCAGGCAGCAGGCAGGCAGGCAGGCAGGCAGGCAGGCAGGTAGGTAGTGTTTTTTTTTCAGTATCAATGATTTTTTATCGAAATAACATGATTTCATTAGTACAGTGTTTAGTAACAACAGTAATGACAACATTTTACTACCATAAATATTACAGCATCATTACAGCTATAAACATTAAATATATATTAGTGTTCATCTTAGCTGTTCAACAGAAATTAGAAACTTCGACGGGAGCGATATCGATATATTTCTGTACAACCGCTACGGATGAATACAACATAGCTAGTGTCAAGCTTTATTTGGCTTCATAATACATGTATCACGACTATTTTATGAACGCGGTTCTATGAAGTACTATGAAAAATAGAAGGCGACTTCTATTAAATGACTTTTGTTCTTCTATGAAAATTTACAAACATAATTTTTAAGAAATACAGCGTTTTTAATTGGATGACCAATAAAACTTGACACTAAATAGAATATACATAGGACTACAAGTTCAAATAAAAATATAAAAGGTAAGAACGGAAAAGGTATAAAGTATAAGAATGAAATTAGTGTCAACTGCAAAATGCAAAAGAAGTATTTTTACATAAATAGTTTATTATTTAGGTAACGTTGTTGATAGTAAATAGTCATTTTTAAATGAAACATCTGCAGTAATGTTAAACATAATTTATTTCTCTGTTATGCGTGTGTGTGTGTGACAAACCAAAAGAAAATTATGTTTCTTTTAGACAATATGCATATTACAATTTGTGATTGTAAAATATTTATACAAAACTTTATAATAATTGTTCATTGATAATCTACCCTATTCTCCATATAGACATTTTAATTCATTTTTTTCTTCAAAATTTAGTATAAATTGTTCTCATTAGTTTGAGTAATGTGTATAAGACTGTTTTCTGTAATGGTGATTGACCTATAATGTTTCTGATAAAATATAAAACTACCTAAATTTTAAAAAGTCTACCCACTCTTTTTAAAAATTTAACGGCTACCGATACATTCCGAACTTTATTTACAGAAATTTCCGTGCAATATTTTTACATTGTAAAATATGAAAATACAAAGTTCAACACAATTATTATAAAAATGTAAAGTTATTTTAATGTTTATATGTGCACTTAAGTAAGCAGCGTGTTGCTATTTTTTTTATTTTGTTCTTTTTATTGTTTTGTTTTGCGTTGTACTTAATCAGAAAGGTATATCTAAATATTGTGACGATTTAAATATCGTTGTTATTAACCACTCGTACATAAATAGGAGGAGCAAAATTTCAATGGTACCTGATTTTGTTTCAGTATTTCTAAAAGGGGACAGTAAATTCAAGTTAATTCATGAAATCACAAACTAGTTGAATAGTATCCCTTTTTAAAATATTACTTCAATAGGAGAAAACTCTTTATAAATACTTAAGAACTCAGATCTTGTAATAGTAAAACAAATAGAGAAAAGAAAATTGAATTTGAGTCCCTCTCTGAACTCAGTCATGTGATGTAACAGAACTTAGAGCTTTGTGTTGTGTATATATCCACTTTTATAATACTTGGCTGAAGGCTTTAAGTCTAGACTCAATGATGTGATGTAACAGAACCTTGAGCTTTGTGGTGTCTATAATCCTTGGCTATAGGCTGTAAGTCAGTATTTATTTTACATTTTACAGTTTACCATTGTGTTTCCTATGTGTGTGTTCTTGTTATTCAACATGTGGAAAAGTCTTTCGAATGCAAATGAGGTAAGCTTTTATCTGTTGCGTTTTACGCCGAATCACAACTGTATAAATAATATGGCAACATTTTTGTTGTACTGATGGAGGAAGACCTCAGAAGTCATATGTACATTATTTCCAGGCAAGAACAGGTACTTGAGTAAAACTACCGACGTCTCGAACGCAAGCTGTATATCTGTCTCAAATGAAAAAATCCAATGTCCATGACGGGATTTTAACCAGTTCATTAAAACTCAGAAACAAAGGAACGTTGGACACATCTGTATTATGAAGTTATAATTTGTGTTTTAAAGGTTATATTTAAACTTTGCGGTTTGATTCACAAGTAGATTCACATGGAGACAATAAATGTTTCTAGCAAAGGATGCTCTTTGAATGAAATGGTTGCTAATGGCATGTTCACTATAATGAAAACTATGAATGTTCAGATACAGAATGGTAAAATAAAAAGGTTGCATTTTTAAGTGAGATGTTTTCTTTTTATTATTTCTATGATTTTGGAGGTAGTTTGTAAGTACATGAGGGGTACGGTAAACTTTCTATTTTTCGTTATTTTATTTAAAGGTTCGAGTACAATTGTCATCGATTGGGCCAATTGTTACAAGTAAGGAAAGGTTTCGCATTCTCTGGTACAACCCAGCTGTATATTTGACAGTAAGTCATAAAGATGCTTTGTATTGTGGGTTTGAAAAATGCAAATACAATAACTGTGATATGACTGTAAATAAATCGGATGCAAGCATCAGTCAGGCGGTCATTTTTGATGGTCGTAAAATGCCAAAGAATGTTAGCTTCACTCGTCCAAATGGCCAGATATGGATTTTTGCAGCTCACGAATCTCCTATTTCATACCGCGACACAGGGACATGGTGGTATAGAAATAAAGATTACTCCTTCAACTGGACGATGACTTATGACAAAGATAATTCTGACATATATTTGCCATACGGAGAAATACTGAAACACAAAACAGAAGTAATAAGGGATTACAAATCAATATCACAAAAGAAAAATAAAACTCTCTTAATAATAGTTTCACATTGTAATGTACGGTCTAAACGTCAGGAATATGTAAATAAGTTAAAGAAATATGTTGACATCGAAGTCTTAGGACTATGTGGGAAAAAGTGGACATGTGGTACTCACTTCAAACACGACGAACAATGCTTTAAACTTTTAAATACCACTTTTATGTTTTACTTAGCCTTCGAAAATGCGTTTTGTCATCAGTATATAACAGAGAAATTTTACGATAATTTCAATTATGATCTTATTATGTTGGTTCGTGGTGGAAGTCCTGGCGAAACGAAACAAATATTTCCCAAGGGAACATTTTTATCAACTGATGAATTCAAATCTGTTGAAGATCTTGCACACTTTCTTAAACATATAAGTGTTAAAACATATGCCGCCTATTTAAAGCGGAAAAGTCAATATTACTCAGCTGGGTATGCGTATGTTTATCAAAGAGCTATGTGCAACTTATGTGAAAGGATGAACCATCAGAGCAAATATGCAAAAACAATCACAGATATAAAGGAATGGGCATTTGGTCCTAAACCATGCATTGGTCCAAAGGAAGTGACAGATATGCAATGAAAGAACGTTAAAACACTAGTTGAAATGTTATTTCTAAAGTGTTTTTATAAGTTCTGTTTAAAAATACAGAAAAACAGAATCCCTACAGAACACACAAAACGACAAAATTGACAATTTTGCAGACTGAAATGTTTCAGAGAAAGAAAAGTATTTAAACCATTTATTTAAGGTTATTTTAATAACAGTTATCTATTATATCAGTGTCAGTTTGGTTTAAGGCTAGGTTTTTCAGCTGACGAGTGTCTTATTTATTTTCCCTGTGTTATTAAGTTAGTTATAAATGAATAAACACAATTTTCTTTCTTCTTAAATTATTTTTGAGTTTCAAACGACATTAGACCATATTATAATAATGATGAAGATAGACTTGGTAGCCCCGATGGTTCAAGTCAACATAACGGAACGACAACAAGTTATTGATGATACAAATACTTTTTCCTCTTCGTGTGTTTTTCAAGGCTCGGTCTTAGGACCTCTGCTATTTTTAAACGTTGTATTTGGTATGTCAGTTATTGTTAAAAACCTTTAACTTCATCAAATAATTCTGGAATAATGGTGGCTGGTTAAAATATTTGAGGTGTGAAATGATTTAACTAGAAAATAACATTGTTAGCAAAAAGTCCGTTATTAAACTTTTATAAAACCGAGTCAATTCTTATTGGCCAAATACCCTTTGTTTATATTGCCATCAGTCATCACCCTTACCAGTGTTTCACAGCCCCATAAAGTCAAAAATAAGATTTTAAGTTTTTATAGTCTTTTCATATGATGTTTGCATTTTGGTTTCAATAATATTAATTTTCAATAAATTGCTTATATAATTTATAATACAAAGTACACGTAATTATTTAAAGATAGATTTGAAATTGAAACAAAACAGTAGTATATGGGCCGGTTTAACGCCACGACTGCACACGTGCGGCGGCAAGACTGCACACGTGTGGCGGCCATCTTGTTTACACATATATAGAAACTTATTTGCATATAAGCGATGTGAAGTTCGGCGCATGTGCGGCGGTTATTTTATTGACTTATTTTCCAATCTCCCATTAAGGCACATGTCCTAGATAAATTATTTATATGGTATATGTGACATGAAATATACTTTTACCCGGTTTCACACAAACGACCGCCTTGGATGACCATTTACATATAACGGAATAAGTGCACAAACGAGTGGATACGGAAAATGAAAGGTCGTTAATTATAACGTACTAGGTATCGGCACGTGCAATGAAAACTAACGCCTAACGCGAAATTGTGTAGTCCGAATTACAAAATTGATAAATCTTCAGTTCAGCATTATATTTATGATATTAACCCATAAAAAGTGAGTTAGAGTTTCTTTAAAAAGGATACACGCACACACACCCATATGCGTGTATATACGCTTCGAAGACGTTGACAAAATCTGACGTCAGGAGGATCCATGACAAATAATGCATGACACGGCATGTTAACGATTTATCTTCGTTTGACCAAGGCAACCATTTGCAAAATATAAATTTTAATACGAATTCCTTATAATTACTTAATAAAATCGACTTCTCTGTTACGGTGTCCGAAGGTTAGGAGGAGATATCCACACTGGAACTCAAAATGATGCAATGCAGCACTGAAACATTTAAAGTATGCCATCCTTAAAGAACACTTACAATTTTTCCATCTTACATGTGCTGACATGCACACCAGAATCTATGGTGCTGGCTTCACTTTGGCTATACGATTTTGTGGAAGAATAGTTTTGAGTGTTGTAAGAAGAAAAGACATAAATTCCATATTTCATTTACTTCTTTTTAATTTTTTCATTTTGCTTTGGGGGATAATTGAAATTTTTGTAATTGCTTATGGTAAACCCATATTTATGAGAAAAAAGTTAACTTTTCTGTTTACAAGTCAAGCAGCGAAGGTACATAAAGCCAGCTGTTAGACATGTGCCCTGTTTTGAATAAATGACTCTGTTGTTATACATGTTGGAACAGTTTATGTTATACAGCTGTCTCAATATATTTTCCATAAAACTGAAAGTTATACATGTATAACAAAACTATCAATTTGATAGTGAGCTTTATTCAGATATTTCACCAAGAAATACTATTTTTATTTTATTTTTTAAGCTGAATGCTGACTGGTAGATGTAGTTAAAATCATCCACGTTATGATATACTGTTGAATTTCGTATAATTCAAACACAGTTTGGTTTCAGTCTAGAAACCATTTAGAAACTCTAACAATTGTTAATTTTACATTAAAGTCCTATTATGCTTAAAAAGTGACAGCATACTGTGATGTTGTTGGTCAGTTGCTATACTATACGATAACTCTTCATTGTCATACAGATCTTAAATTTTAATTGAGGTCAAATGGTCATCATAGATTTGATTACTTAAAGGTTGTCCGACAAATAAGTAGATAGAAAACGCTTTGACCACTGGTGTGGAAGGTGACCATGACTGGAAAATGAATCCTATTGATTTTTGGGTCAAAAAGGCAGGTCAGCATGGACCTGACCACAAAAATCTTTTCTAATTAATAGATACATAATGCTTTGACATACAGTCCTTTGATCAAGTGATGTTGAGGTTAGTCATGACAAGTATATGATCCTATTACTTCTGACGTCAAAAGGTCAAAGGTCTATACGGACTTAACCACTAAATGCCTGTCCTGTCAATATCTAGAGAACACTGGCCTGCAGTCTTAAGCGTACGTCACATTACAAGCCAGGACCGTACGAGATAAGTGAATTGTTTGGACACTGTTGATAATAACAATTCATACCGGTCTGTGAGGGGGGTGATCATTCACCCTGTGTGGTCCGGTATGTATCGGACGGTTTCCGAATGGTAACCTTTTGGCATTTACCTTCTCGGCAATGTCCATTATTGTTAAGGTAATCGGCCGACTACCATACGACAAATATCCAATTGTCGTCCGGTGTCCGCGAGACTGCCAACCATCGTACAGAATGAGCAAAAGCCTTAGGATATCAGGCCATCTATTGGACGATATTCGTATGCCCTTTGAATGAGAGACAGACTGTTGTCATATCTGTTTTACACCCCCTACGCTATCCTTAGCATCACTAGACCATCCGGTAACCTAATGGTGTCTATCCGTGCACTAGTCGGTGACCTGCTGAATCGTCTTCGGAAACTGCCCGGACAGCGCTTGAAAACCGGAGCATTTTCACCGACATGAAATGGATATAAATAGGAGTCCAGCCAGGTATCGAAGGGGTTTTTCACGGTGCCTGCTACGGTAAGCAGGTGGTGTACCTCACCGGTGACATGTCACAAGAAAATAACTCGGCACTAAACCTCTCCGGTAACTCGTACGATGCCTCACCGTTGGCTTTTCACCGGAGTGTCACTAACCGGTGACCTTTGAAAATTTTGCAATTTCAGCTTTTTCAAGCACATGTACCCAATCATTAACCTAATCGGTGTCTAATGTGACCCGGTCAGGTATAGTTTGGAGGTAGGTCACGATTAGAAGATGACACATATCTTCTGATTTGGACGTGAAGTATCAAAGTCACCATGCATTGACAACTGAAAGCGTGTCCGACCAATACCTAGAAAACGCTTTGGCTTAAAGTCTACTTTTTCGTTTGGGGCTTAGTCATGAGTAGCTGTCTACCTCTATTGATAATGAGGTTCAAAGGTTAAGGTCACCATGCGCTAAACTTCAATTTACAACTAACAGCTAGAGAGACAAAAAGCTTAAACCCTCTGTCCTGATATTTGGTGTTGAGATTGGATATGATTAGTAGAAGACACCATTGAATTTATGACCATTAAGTAAAAGGTCAAGGTCACTGTTGCTTTGACCACTAAAAGATTGTAAACCAACTAGAGGAAATTTGGGGGTACATTAAATAGATTTGGAGGTGTGTTATGTTTGAGGTTATTAGGTTCAGGTCACAGTGATGCATAAAATACTTGTCTATTTGAATCAAGAGCAAGAATAAACAAGAGATTCATCAGTTTTGCGAAATTTATAGTGATAGTAATTTTGCTACAGTACTATCATATGATGTATAAATATTACACTTGACTTTTATAAAATATTCACAAGTATGAACATACCCCAGTGAAAGTAAATGAAGCGGGACATAGGTGTTCCAGGACACATTTCTAATTAGTTTATGTTCTTTAAAATAAGTGAAATAAAATTATTTTTCATCTTGAGATTTTCATGTAAGAGGTACGTTTTTTCTATAACTCTCTCGTATTTTATTATTGTTAAAAAAGCAAATGGCCATTTCATATGCGCTGTTGGCTCTATATGTAGGCACCGTTGCCTCTATACTGTATAGGCACTACTTTGAGAATCGGTTATGAATGGAAATATAGATAAACAATTAAATAGAAATACAGGTAAGACGTTTTTGGGGACATGGCATTTCTCGACAAATATCAAAGTAATTTTTGGTTTAGCCAATCCACATACTCACAATCTTTAAGTTTATTTTATACTAATTTATTTTAGTTTGATTGTGTTGGAAGCAATAAGCTTCTTGAAACACCTTTGAATCCGTTCGTGTTACCAAACAGAACTTGTCAATTTGTGTAGTTTCTTGCTCACGGAAACAACGGCTTGCCCCTAACGGGATTTGAACTCATGCGGCCAGCAATCTTCTGATTACTAGTCCGACGCGTTAGCCACTCAATATTTCAAATTATCATATATTTAACAGTAACAACAGAAATGAGTATTTGTATACGTAACGTGTTTCTTTATTGTTTGTGTTTGCAGAATATAAATTGAGAAAACATTTAAATAAAAGAATAAATGTTTGTTGAACATAAATACAGTTAAATACCCAAATGATTTTAACAAGACCGAGAAACGTAGTCTATTACAAAATACGGAGACAAAAAACAAAACTTTTAGTATATAAAATAAAACGGAGGATCATCCATAGTTAAAAAAGAAGTTATAAAAAGTGAAAACAGTTTGTTAAATTAAAAAATGAGATATTTAACAGAACTACTCACTTAAACAGGTACAAAACCATGTAAAATATGAATTAAAAGGATTTCTTAACATCTGGATAAGAGATTTCATAAATTAACAGTACACATGGATTTCATTATACATTCAAAATATTGATAGAAATTATCAGGATTTAGAATAAGATAACACAATAGCCTAAAAACGTCATAAAATACAAAAATGCCTAATTCAGAAATGGAATATATTGTAAGTTAGATGAGCATTTCATTTGATAAAAGCGACGTCTTTATAATTTTATATACACGGCTGCTATAAATTTTTGATCAAATTTCGCTTTTTTCGTCCAAAAGAAAAAAGGAAATTTGCTGTATCATAAATTCATTATATGATATCTGATGTAAAGAGAAAGTTGTCATGCATACATATGCAAGTATGATAAAGAATAAGGTGTAAATGTTATAAGACAGACACATAGACACACATATATTCTAAAGCAGACACTCGATCTTTTGTTGTCTGTTGACTCAAATTACTTTTAACAGTGTGTTTATTTTAAAACAATTCTTAAAAGTTTGTAAATAGCAAACTGGCACTAACATAACAACTTTCATAATCACTTAATACAGAATTACAAAACATAGTTTCATAGAAACATAATATTTCAATTTTCTTAATAAACGGAAATGTAAAACTACTGCACGAACACACGCACATACGCACACAAACAAGCACGCACAAAATCACAGAAAAAGTGTTTGCCGTGTAGGCAGGTAAGTTTATATAAAGATATATGATCTCGTCCAAATACACTGAAAAATATATTGTTGTGACATATAGAAAAAAATATCATTGATTATACATGCATCTGTAAGTAACCATTGTCCCAAACCATTTACTAAAAATATTCTACTTAGTAGAAATATATTCTTCATGTAGTTTATGGGCTTTTTACGAATGACTGATGGTGATATTTGAATGCTCGGGTTCACCTTCACGAATTCACAATTTCAACTACATGAATCTACGATTTCAAGACATAGAATTCATGAATTCACGATTTACAGCTGAAATCGTGAATTCTTGAAGTTCATGAAGTTAAAATCGTGAATTCCGTATGTTGCAAACGTGAAATAACGAAATTAAAATTGTGGGTTCACGGAGATGAAATGCGGGGTTCATGAAGTTGAAAAGTCCCCACAGTCTCTCGTAGCTTTTGCATGAACAGATGTCAAGACAAATGTTTAAATTAACAGTTCAAGAGTACCCAATAATAAACCGAATCTGCCATAAATAAAGACTCTTTCCAAGGAGAGTATCTCCTCATATCTGTTTTGTAAAATGTTGTTGCTAAGTTATACTCTTGGCTTCATATTATCGTAAGTGGTGTTTGTTGCACTTGCCGCTACTTTATCTTCCTCTAATGTGGCATATCCAAATGCTGTATTTGTTTCACCTAAAACAATTTATAGTAAAAAGTCAGGATTTTCAATAGCATCGGCAATATTAACAAGTGCCCGAAAGCATTTTTTCTAACCAAATATTATCGTAAAGATATTTAGAAAAAAAATCAAAAGGAACTTGAGTTCTTCAAAACCATGCGTTTACATTGGAAATGTCTTAGTTTAGTGCAAAGATTCAACATTACTTTGTTTTATCTAAGAAATAAATGACTACAGAGATATCAGTTGATATCGGCCATGTTGCTCACATTCTGGAAACGGAGGTCCTTCAAGAGAAATTATAATATAGAAAACAACAGGCACAAATAACTATGATGGCATTATAAAACATAATGCGCGATCCCACTTAAATGGTGGTAAAAACGCCTAATTTTGATTTATGAATTATTACAGACCAATTAAAAATGCCATCACAAAGTTAAACACTTTGTTAAAAGGTTTTTTTCAACAGTTACTTTTTATTTAAAAAAAACAAACACAAACAAACAAACAGACATATTAAAAAATTGTAATCACATGTCACGGCAAGTGGTGAGAAACTTATTTTGATTTCTTTTGGGCACTGAAATTAAGTGCTTATAAATAACCCTTACAAAATAGATTGAAATTGTGTAAGTATCTAAGTGAACACAATATTCAGTTTATTCTCCTTGATAGCAAACTTTAAAAATGATGAAATGATGAAAACATTTTAGCACCACTAAAATAAATACTTACCTAACTGTACACTATTATCAGCATATCTTGGGTTTTCAAAAGATGTACTTGAAGTATCCGCTTTCTTGGAAAATCTACCCGACCTTCAAAGAGACGAAATATTGTTTTGTATGAAGAGTACGAATAAAACAAACTAAGTTGGCAACAAATAGCAAAGTAATAAGAGGACAATTATCAATGTGTTTTCTTTCATTTTTCATATGTAATGCATAAAAAGAATTTCAAATAGAAAACTGAATAATTCGAGTCAAATATCAACGTGCATGTAATTAGAGAACATGTATCAATATTAACAATTAGGTGTTTAATTCAAACTATATAGCTTTACCTGAATTCTCTGTTTATTATATACATTTTATCTTTTTTTGACATTACAATTTGAAAGATTTCTCATAAAATCTTGTGTAAAGGCTGAATTTAAAAGAAAAATAGTCCGTCAAGACACCAGTAAAAATACAGAAAATATCTTTCACTGCAATGAAAAATATTTTCAATATTGAAAATACGTAAAATGAAAATACACATTTTATTTAATAATTATACAATATATTATAAATATGTACCTACCTTATTAAGAAAACGATGACAATAATTATGATAACGATCAGGACAAATACAGCTACACCAATTCCTACACCAATACCTATATCTTTTCCCGTTGAAGCTGATGATTTGGCCGTCTCAGTTGTTGTTGTTATCACTGGAAAAATTGATAAAAACGATTAACCTTTGTAGTTATTCTAAGTATATATCCATATCCGTCCTTCCAACCAACGACTTAAAATTGTCAACGAAATGTATCTACTGCTCTAATATGATTTTGTGCAGGGAAGTGACTACTAGTGACTGTAGTCAAACCAATGGCAGTCCTGTCTGTTATGGGATAGTTTTCGTCACTATAAAAATGGACCGTCTTCGTTACAAATAACAGGCTTCACTACAACATTCAAAATAAAACCTTTATAGCGTTGGTTTTTACTTATTTGATCAAAATATAAGTCTTCGCATAAAGATATTTCTAAAACATTTCAACATATTTATTGGTGTTTGCATGTAAGAATATGTTTAAACATGTAGTTTTCTTTTTCTGGCGACAGGTTTGTGCATATTCTATGACACCACACACTATATTTAATTGGCCTTCTTATGAAATATTACTGTAATAATGTGTAAAAGGTTTTCTTTTGTTAATTGCGTCTTTACAATTCTTACTCTTGCATTGCATTTATGTCGACAATTATTACAAAACTGTTTAATTTAAATAAAACAAAGACAGGTTTAAAGTAATATGCTGGAATTCTTATATCATATAAGAATATCGTTACAAAAATAAATAATTTAGGCATAATTCGACCGATGTTGACTTAATCATTTAATTCGCTATAAAAAGAATGTTTAAATAATTTTGTTTAATGACAGTTGACTTACATGTACAAAGAGTTTCCTGTGTCTGTGTGTAATTCCAACTTCCATCCATCTCACATGATATATGTTTAATACCCGTGTTAGTCTGGTACCCGTCATTACAGCGGTATGAACACACATCATCAGGGCGCAGCGTGCAACCTTCCTTAACGATGACACCATTTTCTATGTAATCCGGACACGTTATTTCTTGAAAAGCAAAGAATATTAAAGGTTATTTAAACATCATAAATTATATACTCTATATAGCGTTTTAATTCTAATATGAATGCGTTTAAAGGAAAATTAATAGGCAGAATGAACGAAGGGTATAATTCTTTTTATAATTAACTATTGATGTTTTTGTTTTAAAGGTTATGCTCAGACAGAATAAGATAATATCTGTTTTAAAGCAATGCCACCTCTGACATTTAGATTCACCGACAGGAACGCTTTCTCTACGCGGCTCCGTAGCTGTGTGGCTTCAAATCGCTTGACCTCAACGCTAAAGATTCGTATCCCATCATGGACATTGTATTCTTTCATATGAGGCAATTATCTAGCCTAGCTAGTTTACGTAAGATCGATGGTTTTGGTCAGGTGTGAAATATTTTACATGGGGGCACAACCCCGAAGAATTCATCAACCAGTAAAGCTAGAATGTCACCATGTGACCTTTGCAGTCATCGTGGCTTAAAATCCACCAAAACAAGCACTTTCACTAACGGATTTGGTCAAAACACAGTGTAGCTTTAATATATTTAAATAATTAATACGGATAAATCATAGCGTCCGTCAAAACAATCCCCGATCACATATACTTAATATAACCATATTAAATCAAATTATAATAGTAAATATGTATATCAATGTATTTTATTGAAAAAAAGTGAGTTAGTTTGTCAACATTCTTAGTACAATCACTACGACACGTTATTTCCCCTAGAAAATATTGAATTCATATATTTCGATGCAAATTATATCACCTTGGCATGGGTCTTGAACATTCCAATGCAACACAATTGTATTATTTTGTACAATAGGTCGAACACACACGATAGGTTCATCAGAAAAGAGTGGTTTGTAGCCGTCGTCACACTTGTACCCGCACACATTACCTTGTATACCGACACATACCGCGTCCGTAATAATCTGTCCATTTGGTATAGACATTCGACAGCGAGGAGCTGAAAACAAATTTGCAAATATTATATTCACTGAACTGAAATGAGCTCACATTACCTAAAATAAATGGTTTTTCGCTTACAAAAATCAAGAGTGTATAATTTAACATCGGCCATGAAAATATATCAAATTATCAATAACATGTACAAGGGAAGCTAATTAAGTTGGTAAGCAAATTACAGTTCCTTGCACTGCCAAATATCATTTAACTATATTCTTTTATACATTTTTATTTCTTTCAACAAAACAAATATATGTTATTGTATCATAGTTTGGGGACTATTCTGTTGAAAATGTGTCAGAGTTAAATCGCATACATATACATGTACAGTGCGTTAACTGGAGTGCAGGTATTAGTTACCCGCACTCCATAGCGTGCCCATTGATTGGTTCATTTTTGCTGGGGTTTACATATTGTGACGGAAGAGAAAGGGAAAGCGACAGAAATATCATATTCAGATGCTCGTTCATTGGTTACTTTTTCCCGGGGTTTCATATTGTGACAGCAGGAAACGTGTTTTTATGTTTGACTATGATACAAAAGAGAAAGAACACCAAAACACTCGGCAATCTGATTTATACTCGGGGGCTACGCCCCCTCGTACAAATCAGATAGCCTCGTGTTTCGGTGCTCTTTCTATTACTTAAATTTCTAATTGTTTTATTTGTTTAATTATTTGCCTTGTTTTGTTTGGCATACCATACAATGTACATGTATATCATCATCTCTATCAGTATTTATATTTGTATACGTTCAAGAATAATACATGTTACATGTATGTTAAAAATAAATACCACTTTCGCAATTCTTTCCGTCCAAAAGAAGTTCCTCATTATTTGGGCATCCACAAGAATGTCCACCTGGTCGAGGGAAACAAAAATGACTACATCCTCCATTGTTAGATGAACAGTCACTGTTCACTGAAAAATTGAATAATATAATTTGAACAGTAAATGATTACAAACTACCCTGCATGTATTCATAATATAGCAGATTAATTAAATTACCGACTTGGAAATATGGCAATTCTGCATTTAGACTGTGAAATATTTTGATTGTTAAAACAATATGTAATAGAAAGAGCACCGAAACACGAGGCTATCTGATTTGTACGAGGGGGCGTAGCTGTAACTGTTGTATCATAGTTTGGAGACCTTTCTGTTGAAAATGTGTCAGGGTTAATTCGTATACATATACATGCACAGTGCGTTAACTGGAGTGCGGGTATTAGTTACCCGCACTCCAGAGCATGCCCATTGATTGGCTCATTTATGCTGGGGTTTACATATTGTTACGGCAGAGAAAGGGAAAGTGACAGAAATGTCATATTCAATTGTTCGTTCATTGGTTCATTTTCCCCGGGGTTTCATAATGTGACAACAGGGAACGTGCTTTTATGTTTGACTATGATACAAAAGAGAAAGAACACCAATACACTCGGCAATCTGATTAATACTCGGGGGCTACGCCCCCTCGTACAAATCAGATAGCCTCGTGTTTCGGTGCTCTTTCTATTACGTAATTTACACAAGTAATAAGCGTACATATTAATCATGACAGTTAAAACATGCGATCAATATTTGTTTATTGCGTAAGGCTCTTATCATGTTATACCAAAAATGAATACCGAAATATTAAAGTGAATATGTCAACATTGGAATGTATGTTATACTATAAATAATTATCTTGATAGTATTTAGTAACATATGTGATAACAAAATACGAAGGGAATTTTCATTGATTTTTTGGTAAACGAGAGATACATGATCCGATATAACTAATCGATATATTGATTATTAATTTTCCAGGAATAAAACATTATTCATTATATAAAGGTTCATACAATTCACGTACAACACTTTCAAGAAATATTTTGTAAGAATATGATTTGACACATTTTATAGTTTTAATTTTATATAAATACTTGTGGAAATGTCCTCATTGGAGAACAATCCATTTAATGAAATTATTTATATGCTCTTACGAACAGATATGTCTGTTATTCAACTTAAATCAATTAGTTCTGAGATTTTATTTTTAGCCGCTGTTTCGAAATGCCGGAACATTTATAATGAATTATTCGCAAACCTGGAGTGGATGTCGTAGATGAACTGTATATATCTAAACCATACATTCTGCCAAGTCCTGTAGCTGGTCCATAAAGTTTTACATCATTTTTGTTGTCCTTGTGCACTCTTGTTATTTGTCTAGGAAAATGAAGACAAATTGAAATATGGTACATGCAATTTTATAGTGACATTTACTAACTCTTTTCGCTTATAAGTTAGTAATATTTTCAAAAGATTTACTATTATAAGCGTGACTGACAAATAATTAATGATGAATTATGTAAAAAAAGACTGTCCAACTTTTTTTTTAAATTTAACGCTACCGATACATTTCGAACGGTATATGATAGAAATTTTAGAAAGCTTTGAATACAAATGCAGAAGAAAAAATGTCGAGAATTAAATAATGCTAGAAATTGTTGCCCTTTTCATTTGTTTCTTGTTTTATACTTATCATTTGTATAATATCTTATATATATGTGCTGCAATAAAAAGTTTAAACCTTTTACATGGTGTAGCACTAATTATGTCACCGCTCATATATATAAAAAACTTTTGCTCTGATACGTTTGAGTCTCTAGAGCGTGCATACGTACTGTTTATCCATTGCAACATAGTATAGATAGTTTCCTAGGAGTTCCAAGTCCATTAATCTAGATCCTTTTGGAACCTCCAAGAATGTTTGTCTATCATTCCCATCATAGTCACTGTGATATATCTTATCTAAGTTACCGTCCGTCCAGTAAATTCGTTTAGCTGTGAAATGTAAGAAATACGAGTAGATTGCTCGGTCAGAAAGTGATCAATCATATAAAAGTGAATGATAGTTACCTTTTATAAGATCTTGAGATATTAGGGTCATGTCTAAAAAACCAAGACTATTTAAATCAAACTGTTTAAATCAAGTATGACAAAGAAAACTAACACATACAACTGTATGTTTATATGTTTAATGAAAACGTATTCTCAATCTGAATATTTAACATACTTCATTTTTCTTAGGTACGCTATGATTAGTCTGGTATCAAGTAAAATTTTACAAATTAAACATGGTTGTTAATCAATTTGTTTATGTCTTCAATATTAATAAAATACTTGATCCAGTTTCTGAAATGTGATACAGTAGATCAAGCAGCAACATTGATCTCATTTAAATTTTTCTTTTGCGCTGCTTTGAATTGTTCACACTTAATATATTTGTACATTTATGATAAGGTGACTTATAAGTCAAATGGGCCGGGTGATTTTTTATGAATTTCAATTATGTATATATATATTTGATACATACACAATGTCACTTTAATAAACAATTTACTTACTTACCGATCGACAAACCGACCCACCTATTTTGTGCTTACTTACCTACTTACTTTTAACTTACTACTTTACTTTGTACTCACTAATATTCAAATGTTTGATATGTCAGAAGACTTCTCTGTTTCGTTATTGTACACTAATTTTAATGCACCAATTAAACTGCTGTTAAAAGGAAAGTAAGAAGTCATAGCTAGTGCAAAAATGAATGGTGTAAAAATACAATATTATATGCACAGACAAGGTACATACCTTTACGGTCAAGCGCAATTCCATTTGGCCAAACTAGATTCTCTGTATGTATAGCTTTCTTCATACTGCCGTCCATTGCGGCTCGGAAAATAGCCGGTGAAGCTTCACTGTAGTCAGACCAAAACATGTAGCTGCGAAATAAAAATAAAGGATTTATTAACTTGAGATAAACTTGTATTTTTATAGAATGTCTAAAATCCGTCTTTTTTCATGCAACTGATAACATTGCCAAACATCTTGAAACATAAAAAAGTTTCATTGTATTTTAAAGTAATACCAAACCGTTGGTTATGTAAAACCTGCAAGTCTAACTCCTGGATCACATCAGTAATGCCTTCGTATGATGAAAAGTGGTAAAGAAGGGCTCAATACATGATCGCTGCGTTAAACCTTAAAGGAAAAACGCTTTTACATGAAGGTCAAGTCCGGCTTCAAAGTTTTGCCGGGATTAATATCCCAACAGTGTTAGCATGTGTTTTATTTATCATTACGCTGACGCATAAAAAGACTCAAATGCACAATTATATAAAAATACACTGTTTTAGAATCAGATTGTATGGACATACCCTTCTGCTGGATCCAGTTCTATGTCACGTGGTCTGTGACCATCCCACACTAAGACAGTCATGTACCCATGCTTGCTCAACACAGCAATAAAGCTATTATAAAGTACATCACTGTATAATTGATATCCCGTGTAATATATGTTACCCGTGCTCGGATCTAGTGCCACCTGATCAGCATAGCCATACATTGTACCTGTCAGAAAAAGTCAGTGCTCAGTATTAACAAATCTGGTATGAACAAAATTCGTCACCTCAGTGCAATAACTGATTTACAGCTAATGAATTTAAAAGCTTATTGCGTTAACGTTATTGCATTAAGGTGACGAAATGCAGTTTATTCAGAATTTATTTAAGTTCGATTGTGTTGGAAGATTATAGCTTATGGACACACTCTCGAGTCGGTATCTGGAACCAACCAGTACTGAGCAACGAGTGTAAAGTTTCTTGCCCAAGAAAACAACGGCTTGTCCCTGACTGGGTTTGAACCTACACGGATAGCGATCGTCAGATTATTTGTGCGACGTGTTAACCACTTGACCATGCCGCCACGAATTGGAGCGGTATAAGGCATTAATAAGATTTGTTTCAGAACCATAAATGCCGAGTATTGCTTCTATAACACATGTGAATTTACATAAAATACTTTCTGCTTAGACAAATGTAATTCCTCTTAATATCTGCTAAGGAAAAAGTAGAATAGTGTTAATCAAGTAATTATGAAAGCTTTAAAATAATAACATAAAAAATGTATAATATTATACAACATATACCATATACATCGGTAATAAGACGTTGACGTGTCCCATTCAAATTGACGCCCCATATCTGAGCTGTTGTTGTACCCGTCCAAACCACCTCATTGGTTAGATGGTTATATATAACACCGTCTGGTCTGTCTGTTGCCGGCGTGCTGCAATGATACCGGAAGTTCACTTGAGTTAGATAAATTCTGACATGTTTTTCAATTTATTACCTTGAAAATTATTCCTGCAAAACTGCCCGAGTTATAGATTGAGTTTTGATTTTGGATTAGGATTGCTCGCTACCGCGCAAAAGACAAAAGGCCTATTGTTGTAACAGTATATATATTTAAAGTGACTTTAAGTGGGTAAATATTATTTAACACGTGTCTGAATTAGTGAAATAGACATTTTTTCCTATTAAAACATATTGACAGTATACATGTATAATTACATGTAGTATTCATACTGTGAGTGAATGAAATGTTCCATAAATTTACCTGATTCCAACGACCGTGGTTGGATTATTTAAAGGTATCTGGAATACTTCAAAGTATGTAGTATCTGTGACAAGTATAAAGTCGTCATAGACAGGTACTGAAATAAAAAATCAATTTCAAATTATATACCAAGAAACTGTATGCAACTGGAAATTACATAATGGCACAAATATATGATTTACACACTCAATGAAAAAATAGATAGTTACAACAATGTACGACAAAGCGCTAACTCAAAGCGATTGAATAGGAATGTATTTCAAACTGAGGTATTCATTTCAATACCTTTTTATCAATATTAATGTGTTTGAAGCTACATAATAGCTGCAAAAAATTATTGTTTGAACTTTGAAAAAGAATACTTCCAAATACATGTATATGTATGAAATAAACATGATTATATTAAATATTTTCTTAAAAGGTGCAGGCGAATGCACAAAAATCATTGCTAAACGGTTCTAAAACACTACTTAATTTGAAGCATAATATTTTATACTGGAACATTTTTCTTTGATTATGTATATTGAAGAAGAAGAATCTTTATTTTGCAAATTAACTCTCAAAAGAGTCATGTACAAGCATTCATGATATATACAATTACATGTATGCTAAGTAAATAACTAATTACATAGCAAGATGACGTGACTGCAAGTATTTCTTTTCTTTCATTATTATAATGGTTACCATTGATTATTTATTTAATTTACAAGTTATTTACTTTTTGAGAGATTCTACATTCAAATATATAATAATAAGAAATACTTCGTGTATGTATTAGGCTTGCAATCACGGGAGAGACATTGTCAGCATCTATTACATAGTATACTTTAAATTCTCTTCCATACACTGATCTTTGTAGTACATTTACTAATCTAAGCTATATGGTTTTGATTTATTGCAATAGTAATATGGCACAAAATATTGAAATTATACAAACAAAACAAAACAAATGTTACTTCTAAACTATACTTTGAACACATATAATGCTTCAAACATGATACAAGTAAGACCAGTGTATGATTTGAAACTTACAAATTTATAGCCTTTATAATCATCGTGTTACTTAACCTGTTATACATATAATACACAAAGAATTGCAATGTATCAATAATACATCTATATACAATTACATGACAGCTAATTTTCGTACATTACACACATAGAAGTACAATACAATGTGTCAATTAACTTCTATGTACGTTTGCAAGGGGCTAGATATTCGATTCGCATAAAACATATATATAGAACTTTAAATTAAACATTTTTGTACCTTAACACGAGAATTGTTTGTTACTGTTGTCTAATATGGAAGGCATGATATATAAACATAGCTAAATTTCTAATATCATGTACATTATCGCTTGTAATCAACTGAACAAATTTAAACATGCTAGGAAACCTCCAGTAATATTTCTTTAAAAATATATTGTCCATGTGTGTTTTAAATAACGGAAATATTCTATGTAGCAACAGTTCCTCTTTCGAATTCGACCATGAGATTATGAAAACTATTGATTTTAACTGTTAATAAATTTAATAAAAATGATTTCATCAGATATAGCTTTATGCCCCTTAAGATAACCTTCAATGTAATGACATGTAATTTTGACAAACTACACCGCTTATTAAGCTGTTTTGGAAAATTGGCATATTTCATCAAATCATGAATAAATTCTAAACGAATTTGTTTACAAACGTATTGATTATATATCAATAAAATTTGATATACGCAAGCAGAAAATGCTACATATTAAGATGTGAACATGGTACATATTCTTATAGATAATAAAACAATGTAGAATATATTGTAACTCACGCGAAACACACTGCTTTCCATCGGAATGCAATGTAAAACCAAATTTACATTTACATCTGACTGTTTTACCGTCAGTTAAGCAAATGTGTTGACAACCACCATTACTGGTTCTGGAACTACATGGGTCTGAAATACAGATTAATATTCACGGGTCTAAAATACACATTAATATTTATGGGTCTAAAATACAAATTGATTATTTAAAAAAAACGGGGAAATTTTTAAATTAAATGTTATGGAATTAAAAAAAGAACCTTTTTATTTTTTCAGGAGGTTATCAAGGGAAAACAGGCGTTCTTTATTACCCAAATAATAGGAGCTTTTCTGAAAAAAAGGTTAAAAGGAGTTTTTAGCCCAAAACAGTAAGTATAATAACCAAAATTGAAGCCGGTTTGTCATGAAAAACCAACATAGTTTTCGTTTTGTTTACCAGGCTTTTTGGGATCCAGGAAGCCTTTTGGGATCATGGGTTCGAGCCATTTGGGTCACGCCCCATGTTTCTTCTTTATTACACCAGTACTGGTTGGTTCCAGGAAGCGGACTTGAAAGTGATTAGCTCTAATATAAGTTGCACGAATTTGTTTCGCAATCATACTTAAATATGTTAAATCAAACTATTTATAATAGAGTGCGTTGTCATAAACCTGGTATTCTCGGTTGGCTGCCGGGTGTCTAGAATTTTTACACCGTATATATTCTCTGCACCAGACACTGTTCCCTCATCTACGATTTTCAGTGGGAAACCAGGGACATATCCACCTAGATCTCCAGACCGAATTAAAGTCCCATCGTCCTTCTTGTTTATTAATACGATATATTCCTAAACATATGGAGAAAATAAATGAAAAATAAAAGTTGAAGGACATATAGATTTTGTTAAATCTACCATCGATTTCGTTTATTTTTGTTTTTTAGTATAAAAACGGATCCGAATCCAACACTAAATGTAAACCTATATGATATCTTATAGGATAATAAGTTATTCAAAGTCTTTACACACTAAGTCAATCCGAACCAATAGAAAAATATCAAAATGTGTATAATAAAGTTGACCTTAGTGCCAATTGGGGAACTGTGATATTGTAAAGCCAAGGCCAAGTGTTAATATTTTCTACTGTGCATCATTTATCGAAACAAAACATAAAACTTTCTATACTGTAACTTGAATATGTAGCTCAACATTTTATATACCTTATATATGGTGAAATCTTCAATAGGATTTGCTGTCGCGATATAATTTGTAACATTTCCAGAGTACTCTATTCCCATCAAATCAGAATGTCCATTTATGCCCTCCACAAGAACGAAAAATCTGAAAATTCAACATTGTACATTGTATATCTGTAATAGAAAAGCACATATTCATATTACATTTGTTTACGCAGTCGCCGGCGAAGAATAAAAAAATTAATATTAAACAAATATTGACATTTTTATTAACTTGTAAAAAAATAAACCGAAAAAAAAAACTGTATTAAGATGTATTTAAGTTTTGATAAAATAACCATTACGGAAATCTAAACATAACCAAAACTGAAACCTTAAAGGTCACTCAACACGGCAAAATCAAAATTACTGCGGTTCGGCTTTCCTGAACCTGAAAATATTTTTAAAAAACTTACAATTCTCTTTTAGAATCATGCACCATGTGTTTTGGAACACTAGAGCCTAGAATCGGGTGTAAGATTAGAGTCAAATTCGTGATGTTCGGGCTACGTAAGTTCCCAAGGTCAACAGATTGTAGGATGTTCATATCAGCCAGCCAATATGCTTTCCTAAAATAAATTAACAGTTTCTTGAGTGTTGGTTAATACATGCATCCATGTTAGGTAATTTATATAATTGTGTACTGTGAGGACCAACAATATACATAATATAATATGATATGAAATAGGCCGAAAGGTCGAATCTAAGGCAAATTCAAATTAACTTTTTTTAACCATAACACAATATATATAATATTGAATACAGTAATTGTAATACAGTATTCCGCTTTTATGAACAGTGTCATATGCTATTTATATATTATTAAGAATAAGAATTAATTTCGAAAGGCAACCATTTTCTGGTACAGATTAACGAGTATCGTTATACAAAGGCTTAAATAAATCAATATCTTCAAAGAACAGGACAACCATATAAAATATTGTAAAGCTTTATTTGTACGTACAGATACTCCTGACTTATAAATATCTGCTGATCGTTAATAATATTATTGTGCATATATTAATGCTTGTAATCTACATGACATGTATTGTCTTTGCCATAATGATATATATGTATTTGTAAATGGTCAGAAGCAAATGTTTTTTGCTGAATGGCAATAAATTTTGAACTTGTACTAAAAAACACACATTTCTATTGCACTTTTATACAAAAGAAAACAAAGAGATTTATTATTCATTAGAACTTTCTAACATCACATACATTTCAGAGCTGCAATTTAAACATGTCTATGTATTAATGTAAGAATAAAATGCTTTCTTGAAATAAAAATACTGAAAAGATAAAGAAAAATTGCTAGCTAACCTTTGTGAAGGAACTACAGTAAGACTTCTAACAACAACGTTTCCCAGTGTTATATACTTTGACGGTGATCCAGTGCTTATGTCTATAAACCACAGTTCTGGGGGATCAGAGCCCACTGTGAAATATACCTTTCTACTCCCATAGTCATAGGACATACCTACAATAAGCGTATTTTATTACACCTTTGAGAAACAATTTTACACTGCATAAAATATATGCACCATGCAATATATTATAAACCAATACACTAACATATGGTAACAAGTTAACAATGTGTAGCCGGTATCATACACCACGAACAATATATTTCACTATTTTCAAAATGTATCACACATCGTTCACAACATGTTATACAATGTGCAGACCGTATCACCTATCATACAAAATATGTTACACAATGTGTAAAATGCATCACTCATTGTACACAATATAAAGCACTATTTTCAAAATGTATCACACATCGTACACACTATGTTACACAATGTGAAGACCGTATCACACACCGTACTCAATATATAACACAATGTACAGAATGTATCACACACCGTACACAATATGTAACACAATGTGTAGACCGTTTCACACATCGTACTCAATATATAACACAATGCCAAGACCGTATCACACACATCACACATCGTACACAATATGTAACACAATGTACAGAATGTATCACACACACACCGTTCACAATATGTAACACAATGTGAAGACCGTATCACACATCGTACAAAATATCTTACACAATGTACAGAATGTAACACACACAGCATATAATACATAACTCAGTGTACAGCAGGCTGGTGCACAGAATTATCACTCACCGTACACAATGTGAAGAACGTATCCCACATCTACACAATATTTTACAAACTGTTTATAATGTATCGCACTATATACACAATTTTATATACTATGCGTACATATTATATCACGCAATGTGCAGAATGCAGCACGCACCATACGCAATATTTAACACAGTGCGCAGAGTGTTTCACAAACTTGTGTGATTTTGACAAATGATTAAATGATCTACTTTGCTAATTGCTAATTGCCCAGAACGTACATTAACAAAAATGTAAAACTCTTACTTATTCATTAACAGACCAAAAATACTTTAAATATTATTTGATTGCAGATATGGTTGATTGCACTGAAACATTTTGTTATTTCAAAATTGTATGCATACCTTCTCCTATTTATAAAGCAATTAGTCTGATTGCATCTTAAGACAAAAAGGCCTACCTGTTATATTATAACTTTGTTCTGTAATAACGAAACTTTCAATAAACCTTGAGTCGGCACCTTTGTCCATATAAACTCTGAAAATATCAATAATTAATAGAAGTGTGTAAAGATATCTAAATCGGACTAATTTGTTACAAATATAAATTTTGTTCATGTGACATTATGCCCATCCAAGGGTATATAGTGAGTGAACAGGTGAAAGTCAAAATAAGTTTACTTTTTGCCATAATTTCTTTAAATTTTATAGTTGACTTCAAACGAATTTGTATGTTGTTAATTCAGATGTATTAATTAAGTAATAACAATAGTTTTTTACATGAAGTCGAACAATGAAATGTATACAGATATTATGCATGTGATTTGTTACTTGACTTTGAAAGGAAGATAAAACGTACCTATGAATTGAAGAACCTATCGCAAAATACGCTTCCCTTGCAGCCATATTAATTTCAAAAAATGTAATAACATCATTTCCGGTTGTATTAACGAAACAAACAGGCTCGAAATCGTGTCGGTCACTTAAGGCCCTTATGTCTATCAGACATAAGCTCTTTCCAGTATTTATAACTATAGCTCTTTGATACTGACCGGCTTTCTCTGAAATAGAGTAATATTTTAAAGCGAAATTATTTCACGGTATTACTGCAAATTATTATGCATGTGCTGGAAAATCTCTCCGTAGTGTTGCTGCAAACTGGAATTTTTTTTTCCTTAAAAGTGTATTATAAAACAACTACATACATGTATCAAAGGTACAAAGCATTAATTATTTAAAGGAGGTGGGGCTTATTATAACTAAAAGAATATCAATAAATCGATCATATTCATAAAATGAATATTTATATGTTCTGTTCGCTTGCCTCTAATGCATTTCGATTTCTGTAAGGTTAAAGTAATGACTAGTTTATAATTAAAATCATCACTTATACAGATTGAATCGATGTGTATTTAGCTATCAGAAGCAATGATCCGTTGAATGACAGGCATAGGTAGAATGTTGTAAACTAAACTAGTATATCTTAATTATGCCAGGCTACATATGATTATTTACAAATCCCGCATCCAGCAAAACTATGTTAAATCAAAGGACCAATATTTATATGACTTAATTCACATAATAAAATCTAAATCTTACACAAGCTACTTATAATTGTGTTGACATTAATTAGATGTACAATACACCTACCAATGCAAGATCTACCGTCAGTGTCAAGGATAGAACCTTCCCGACACAGGCAGGTTGCTTTACTCGGTTCATTTACACAAATTTCTGCACAGCCAGCGCTTTTACAGCGTTCTACAAATAAAGGAGAAAATTCTCAAATCATTATTAATGAAAATTTCAATATTTTTTAAGAAAAAATGATTGGCAAAAAGAAACATTTCATGACCAATATTTAAAGAAACATTAGTTTGTTTATGTAGGAGTCAATGATAACATCACTATAAATGAAATGTTACATAAACCCTTTTTCATTAATTACTTATTATTGGTTGTATTTCGTTCGTATAAATACTGAAAGAAATATCTAATGAAGTGACTGGCAAAAAAACTAAACAATAAGGGTTTCAATGTCCTCGCACAAAATCTGTTTAATTTAAGATGCACTTTTCTTCTCATATGTGATTAATATTCAAAAACAAATTGCTTCACACGATTTACTTACCTTGTTCGGGCTTCATGGGTTGAGTATCTGGATGATACATGCAAACACCAAATAGTAGTTCTCTATTATTACTTATACGTTTCTCGGTGATTTCTTCCCCGGTGTTTTTATCATAAAATCGTGAGTAGGAAGTCTCCCCGTTCATTAAAAACGCATACAAATCGGTGGTGATGATAATGTCCTAGCATAATAACAATAATATCCGTTAATGAGAAGAAGAAGAAGAAAAGGCGAATAAGAAAAAGAAGAAAAAGAAGAAAACATCATCATCATCATCAGCAGCAATAACAATAACACATACATATATATCACTGCATACATTTTCATTTACCAGGTACTTCAATCTATTTTGTTTATAAAAATAGCATTTCATATTAATTATTAATAAGACATTTTGATATAAAACTGGTCACACACTTGAGGAAAATTCAAATAAAAAAACAACAAAAAACAAAGGACAAACGCCACAGGATTCCTCTTCCTGGCAAAGCGAATAAAGAATGAATTAAAAACAAACTCGCTGTTAAAACATATAAGGAGAGCTAAGGTGTTTGTCTTTAAATTAAGGGACCATTGGCTTGAACCCTACAGGAGTAAGCACCCTGTTTCCTTATGACACCAGTACTGGTTAGGTCTAGGAACATAAAACGATGTTTCGAGTTTTCATCCCAATTGTGCGGAAATATATATAGTTGAATTAAACATCTTTTACTTTACATGTTTATTACGAATAAAATTACCTTGAACAATGCCATGTCCCAGAATGTGACGTAATTATCACGTAAAACATGTCTACGATCTGTACCGTCGTATGTGGCGGAATCAATATACTCCCTGAAAATAAAACAACATATAATCTGATTGAAAAAAAAAATCGTATAAAATTATACTTATGATACGGGTTTGTAACGCAGTTTTTCACTGGATAATTATGACGTTATACACGGCTACTGCCAATTTATGCATTTGTTAAATTTATAAGCAACTCGGGTTATATATGCCAACAATAGATGATAGAGAATGATATTAACTGTTAAAATATATTTATAACTATCATTATACATATTATTATATACAATTAATATACGAGGCTATGTTTATGTATACGATTTAACTCTCACACATTGTCAACAGAAAAAGTCCCCAAACTATGATACAAACAAAAGATACACTTACATATCTGCCCAATATATTCTTTTCTCGGAAAGATCGGCAACTATAGAGTTAGGCTGTGATAGTTGTGAGTATACAAGAATCGTCCTTGACTGTGTATCCCCAGTCAAACTTGATCTTTCTATGATTGATTTTTTATTGACATCTGACCAAAATATATATCTGAAAATCAACGAGAAAACAATGATAAATGAAATAAAGGTTCGTTAAAGATGCAGTAATTCTTAGTTCTTTTTAGTTGGTATCAGACTTTTTTTTTCTTTTTGTTATTTATATGTAGCATTTGTTTTTCAACATGGATAATAATTGTAGGGCACATACCAGTGCACTTGTAAAGTACTAAGCATGACCATTGATTAAACAGGCATCACAATTATAAGTTACGGCGGGAAATCGACTAGGCTACTTGTTTAATACAAAGAAAATTCAATTAGACAAGTCACAGCGGTAAATAACCTAGACAATTTGTGAAATAAAAGTCACGTCGGTTAACTAACCAGACAACCTGTGAAATGATTTTAAGTCATGGCGGTAAATAAACTGAACAACCTTTAAAATAAAAGTCATGGCGGTTAATAAACTACACCACCTGTGACTTTAAAGTCATGGCGGTAAATAAACTAGACAACCTATGAAATAAAAGTCATGATGTTAAATAAACTAGACAATTTGTGAAATAAAAGTCATGGCAGTAAATAAACAACCTTTGAAATAAAAGGCATGGCGGTTAATAAGCTACACCACCTGTGACTTTAAAGTCATGGCGGTAAATAAACTAGACAACCTGTGAAATTAAAGTCATGGTGTTAAATAAACTCGACAATTTGTGAAATAAAAGTCATGGCAGTAAATAAATGAGACAACCTGTGAAATAAAAGTCATGGTGTTAAAAAGACTAGAAATTTTTTGAAATAAAAGTCATGGCGGTAAATAAACTAGACAATTTGTAACAAAAAGTCCTGGCGGTAAATTAAATAAGCTATGTGTAACGATTAATAACTGAGGTAACTTTTTAAGTACAAGTCATGGCGATGACTTCGTAGTTAATGATATCTGGTCAGTATCCAGAATGTGGTATGTAAGTGTAGTATAACACCATTAACATCTATGTAATAGATACTTTTTTTATTTACGTACCCTGCTATAGGGTCGACAGCAAGTCCTCTTGGTAACTTTATGTTATCTTTAATTATGATTTTGTACAAAGTATTGTCATTAATAGATCCTCCAGGCTGCATCGCTATCCAATTCATCAGCGGATCGGTCCAATATACATTATGTGAAATCCAGTCAACGGCAATCTGAAATAAAATGTTTATTTTTATATTTTGCTTGTCTTGCTATTAATGATATTGTATGGTTTGATAAGAAGCAATTTAGGCAGAAAATGCATTAGGTGAGTGATATCCGGATCCGGTTGACTTAATTTTTCTTTTCCTGTAGATATTAGTCTTTATGAGGAGCATATGATATTAAGATCTCCTCAGAAATGAAATGCGTTAATTATTTGGGAACATCTTCCTTTAATTGCTTTCTTTACAGCAATAAGCCCCGTAATCTTATGATTGTTTTGACATTTTGGGGACAAGTAAGAACTAGAGAATATCAAAGAAATGATTACATTTACGTATTCCTGGGATATACCAAAATGTTGCTGAGTGATGGTGATGGATTCTTTGATTGCGGAGGAGTTGTAGTTTTCCAATAATACCAGTCCTCTTAGGAAAAAGTCATACACGTACACCTCGTTTCTATGGTAATCTGTGTCACATGACATCGGATATCTGAACACAAACTGAAATATCATAAACATAGGATGAGTATACTACAACTACAACAACAACAACAACAACAACAACAACAACAACAACAACAACAACAACAACAACAACAACAACAACAACAACAACAACAACAACAGCAACAACAACAACAACAACAACAGCATCAACATTTATTTACATACATGTCACAACAACATTATACATATTAACATGCAATAATGTATACAGTAATACAAGTTCAGATAAAGAGATAAGCGTAATAAAAGCATAATGATAAAATTAAATTCTTTTGATTTCGTAGTGCAATATGCAAAGTAAACATACATTTTGTACTTGCTGTAACCATTTAATTCATCATGTGACGTTGTTGATAGTAAAATAATAAACTAAATGCCACTGTCAGAAAATTTAAACTTATCATATGATTTTCCAAAAAGCCGCGTGACATAAGACTGTAGCAATTTTATATAGATCTGTTACAAATTTATTGAATAACTACGGAAACGTATACTGACCCCCCTTATATGTGTTGCTTTATAGTTGATGTTTTTATCATTTTATTTGTCGGCCAAATATTTATACAAAATAGATCAATATGGTCTTAAGAAAAAGAAACAGGCTAAATGTTCAAGGAAATTTTATATTTGACATGATATCTATATTTCGTATTTGTTAGTTTTATTAAACCGAATATCAAATTAATTGTGTGTTTAGCAAGACATTTAAAAATTTTTTTTGCAGCATAGATAACTCTTCGTGATGATGACAAATTATTATTACCTATCCGCGCGAGTAGTGTTGTAAAAGAAAAAAATTGAAAAAAGGGGAAAAAAGGGTTTTTACAGGTATTTTAAATTTTTTTTTTCCAATTAGGTCAATTTTACATCATAATTTTAAGCAAAAATGAAAACTAAAAAACTGTTTTTTTTCAAAAGGGGTTTTTTTTAAACAATATTTTAAAAATATTTTATTATGATATCATAATACAATCAACGGAAAGGGGTCGTTTTGGAGTTTTAATTGCCCTTTAAAAGGGGGCAGAGTTTTAAAACCCCCATTTATCCCAATTTGTAGGGGGAAAAAGGGGACTGGCAATGCCCAATTTCCCTTTAATAAATGAGTATTTGAAAAAATGGAAAAAGTAAGGAAATTAAAACAAAGTATTTTTTAAACAAATTAAAAATTTTTGTACTTTTTGGGTTTTTAAACCAGGAAATCAGCTGCATAAAAGCAAAAAAAAACCTAAGAAAAATAGGGATTTTTCTGATTTTTGTAAAAAAGCGGGGTTCTAAAACAAAGTTTCTTTTGACCCCCATTTTCTCCCTTTTTTATATTTTTTTGGGGAAAACCTCTCAAAATTTTTTAAAAATGTCCGGGTAGGCTATTTTTCATTTTTTGGGAATTTAAAATTTCGGAAAGAAACGAAAAGTAAAAATTCATTTTTAAAATATGCATTGATTAATTTAATTTCAAAAAATTTCCTTTCAGGTCCCCTTCAGTAGGGGGACATTTTCAAGATGCCCCATTTTGGTGAGAAGGGGAAACAGAGGATATTTGTATATCAGTGGTCAAATTCTTTTGGAAAATTTTATGTGAAAAAACCAAAAAATCTAGGGGGAATAACTTTTGGATAGGGGCCCGTTTGGGTGGGAAACCAACCATCCAGAGCATAGGAAACTTCACTATTAAAACCCAAAAAAAAAGACTAATCTTTCATTCTGGTTGTATTTTAAATTAAACCGTTTTTTTTTGGGTAAACTTTCCCAGCAGTGTTTTGGGCTTATTTTTTGTAAAAAATTTAGGGCATTTTTTTTTTTCCCAATTTTGGGGTCCAGACTATAATTCAAAAAATTTAAAAAAGAAATTTTTAAAAAGCCAAAATTTAAACTTGGGATGAAACGCACCTTTAAACACTTTATTATATATAGTTTTTGGGAAAGTGATAACCCCCCTGTGAAAAATTTATTTTTTTTTTTTTTTGGGTACCCCGGAAACAAATCTGAAAAAAGGGGCATTTTGATATATCAAATTAAAACTTTAAAAAATTTATAGTTTTTTTTAAAAAAATTAAAAATTTTTTTCAAAAAAAATAATTCTTTTTTTGATATTTTTGGATTTTTTTAATTTTTTATTGATAATTTTGTTCAAAAAAGTTTACATGTCCCGGTCAGATAATGGAAAGGGGAAACAAATATTTTAAAACCCCTTTTCCGTTTTTTGGTGTGCGTTTTTCGAAACCTTGTCCATAAAAGGAATAAAAGTCATGCATATAACGAAAGCAAAAATTTTGTGTAAGTTTTAAATGAATTTGGGGTTTAAATCATTTGCATGTCCTGCCCCATACCCTTCAAGATATAATTCCCATAAGAAACCCGGGTAAAAGGTCAAAAATTTAAATCTGGGTTTGCCCCTTATCTTTGGGTAAAGGGTATCAGGGGATTGAAAAATAATGTGTAATTTTTGAGGAAAAACGTAAACTAGCCCCAAATGTAAAGGTCAGACTTAGAGGGTCAAAAGGTCAATAGTCGAACTTTTCGTGTCCGGCCGAAATTCTGTCATGAAAGGGGAAGATTTCGAAAACAAAATTGGAAACAAATTTTTGAAAACGGTTTTGTTGATTTTTAAAAGAAATATTTTGTACCCCCAAAAGAAATAGTTGAAACCTCCAAGGTCAAGGTTCATTTAAAAGGGGATGATAATTTAAAACTTAGCATAAAAGGGGTGGGAGGGGTAAAAGTCACTTTTAGAGGTTAAATTTTAAAGCTGTTGGAAAATCTGTCCAGCCAATATTTTTGGGGGCATACATAAAAATGGTTTTTTTGAAAAAAAAAATTTTTTGTAAATGGGTTACACATGGGGTTGAAATGATCAAGGGATTTTTAAAAAGTTAGCGCATTTGTTAAGCTTTGACGAGATAGTGTCCCAAAATGTATTGTCAGTTTTTTTAAATTTTTTTAATGGATTTTAAAAAACAAAAAGGAGTCCATTTGTGATATTTTTCTGACTCGTTTTCCCTTTTTTTAAATTTATCCATTAAAAAATAAAAAATCTAAACAAATATCATGGTAAAAAAAACCCTTTTTTTTACGATTTCATGATATACAAAAAACAAAAATATTTTAAAATTATATTGGATTCCAAGTAAAATGAGGAATACGAAAAAATTTGAAAAAGTAGATGTTTTAGCAAAACAATCTTTTAATCAAAAAAATTTGGACTTTTTTTTTACCTGTTTTGTGATTTTGACCGGTTTAAAAATAAACTCGTACCCATCTGAATGGGAAAATTGGGGAACAATGCCTTTTTTTTTTAAAAACTTCACGAAAAAAAAAACCCTTTCCCCTTTTTTGTGTCACCATCTCTATCTCTGTAAAAACCCCGCCGTAAATCAAAATTTTCTTTTTTGATGCCAAATTGGCACTTTAAAAATTACCCATTTTTTTATTCCTTAAAAGGGCCCAATCCCCCTTTTTCCTGTGTGGGTTTTGTAATAAAAATTTTTAAAAATAAAGCTTTTTCCCTTTTTGGGAATGTAAATGATTTAAAAATTTCCCAAATTCAAAAAACATAATTGATTTTTTTAAAAGAGATAAAACTTGTATTCTGGATCTAAAGGGTTTCCCGGTTTAATTGGGTTCATTTCACAAAGGGGTTTTAACAAAAACATTTTAACCCCATTATAGCATTGGGAAACGATTTTTGGGGCCCCATTTTTTTATGTTTTGGGCCCGTCCCGAAAAAAAACCCCAAAAAAACCCAAACAAAACAAAGACAATTGCATGACATATCCCCCCCGGGGGGTTTCCCTAGGCCAAAGTTCAAACCAAAAATTTTAAAAGGTCTGAAAATTTTCCCTCCATTTTAAAAAGGGCGAGTTTTTAAAGGGGGGCATTTTGGCAAACGAGTTAAGCAAAATAAAGTCCTTGTTACCCAATTTTTGGACATTCAATAAATTTGACAATACTTTACTTTTTTTTAAATCAAAAATTTTTAGAAATCCTAACTTTATATAGCGGGGACATTTTGTGTCCTTCAGCATTTTGCTATTTTTGTACTTTGTAATTTTTTCAGGGTTTAATTTTTTGTCTGCAGCAAAAAAGTCAACACAAATTTTATAAGAACTATAATTCCCCTTTTAAGATTTTTTAAGAAAATTGTTTTTTTTCAATTTTAAATTTAAAATTGAATACATAAAGGATGTTTCCCACTATAATATAATGAAGTAAATCGGGATTTTAATTTTTGTTAACAGTAGGGTTTTTAAACCCCTTGGTCTTTTTTTAAAATTAACCTATGATTCAGTGAATTTGTTTAATATGCCAAAAAAAAAATGCTTTAAATTTGTATTTTAAATCTTAAAAAATTTAATTTTTAAAAAATACATTAAATAAAATTCAACACAAAAATTTTTTTTTTAAAAAATTTTGCTAATGATATTTTTTTTTAAAAAATGGATGCCCTTTTGTTTAAAATGATTGGCTTTTTATAATTATAAACTCTGAAAAACATATTTATAAGTAGCTTTTTTTAGATTTAAAAGTATTTCTTGAAATTTTTTTTTCAAAAGAATTATTTATTTTTTTAAATTTTTTTCCCCAAAATAAAATTTAAAAAATGACTTTTAGAAACAAATAGCTTTTGGAAATTTATGCTAACATTTTTTTAATTTATATTAACGCAAAATTTAAAAAACACTTTAAAACCCAAATTTGCCCAAATGTGTTCTTTAAAAACATATTAAAAGGTAATACATAAAAATGAAAAAAGTATTGATAAAAATATTGTATCGTCCCTTATAACTTTTACTATACTGTTTAACGTTTTGGCAAAAGGTTTTTAAAACTTTTTAACAGTTTCATAATTCATGAATGTGGATAATTTTTTGTATTGTTTATAATTCTTATGAAGATATAACCGAAAATGATTAATCATAAATGAATTAATGTGGATCCCTTATTTCAGAATTTGATTTATTTCGATGTAAGTCTTTGGGTAAAATATTTTAGATCTA